TAGCGTGCTAGGTAGCTGGAGCTAAGAACACATTTCAAACCAGCCCCTTGCATTAGCATTCAGTTTTGGTATCTACGAAAAGGATTGACAGAACTTTCTTTACAACCTAATATTTTATATAGCTACAATATCAGCTAATTTTGTGAGTTTTTTTTACGCTTTATTTTTGGAACGAACGTTTTCGCATGTGAATGGAAAGCAGAGGTGCGATAGTCGGAGCCGATTCTCCGCCTACCTTCACTTTTGAGCTGGTACGGGGTGACCACCTTCACTTTTCGGTTTGAAAAATTTTTTTTGCTGAAGCTCAAAAGAAGGAAAATAAGCAAAAGGGATGTAAAAGAAAGTATTAAGAGCATATATCTATGTAGTAGGTCGATCCAGGCAGTAACCGCCGAGAACCAGAATTTCGAATGATAAAATAATGAAAAATCGTGAAAAATCATTCCACTGTTACAAATCTGCTGGCTGAAGACCTCCGCAGTTGCGACTTCATAGGTTTTGAAGGGTAAGTGTTGTTCTACCAGACAGTGAAGAAATCAGTTTGATTTGAGGAGTGGCCGCCGAGAACGAGAATTTTGAAAAACCTTAAAAATCTGCTCAATTTCGGGCTGTTTGATGACAACTGACATTTAAACTCTTATAAATCCTGACTTTGAAGGTGTGTGATGTTGCGACTTCATAGGTTTTGTAAAGTGAGGTTTGCCTTATTAGAACATATCTTAGCTGTACCGATCCATTGAAACGTCGCCGAGATCCAGGCTCCTAAAGAAGCGGGTAAAAAACCGTTTTTCAGCTCATAACTTCTTCAGAATTGCATGAATCATGTTGCGACTTCATAGGTTGGATTCTCCTCATCAAGAGCTTTCAGATGATATATAATATGTGGGGGGTTCACGCCTTCCACGGCATATGCCCGGGGGTGGAGTACTCCTCTTCACTAATTCTCCACCCCGCCCATTTCAATGTATTGGCGGGAGGCCGCCAGTGGAGAATTAGTGAAGAGAGGTACTCCACCCCCGGGCATATGCCGTGGAAGGCGTGAACCCCCCACATATTATATATCATCTGAAAGCTCTTGATGAGGAGAATCCAACCTATGAAGTCGCAACATGATTCATGCAATTCTGAAGAAGTTATGAGCTGAAAAACGGTTTTTTACCCGCTTCTTTAGGAGCCTGGATCTCGGCGACGTTTCAATGGATCGGTACAGCTAAGATATGTTCTAATAAGGCAAACCTCACTTTACAAAACCTATGAAGTCGCAACATCACACACCTTCAAAGTCAGGATTTATAAGAGTTTAAATGTCAGTTGTCATCAAACAGCCCGAAATTGAGCAGATTTTTAAGGTTTTTCAAAATTCTCGTTCTCGGCGGCCACTCCTCAAATCAAACTGATTTCTTCACTGTCTGGTAGAACAACACTTACCCTTCAAAACCTATGAAGTCGCAACTGCGGAGGTCTTCAGCCAGCAGATTTGTAACAGTGGAATGACTTTTCACGATTTTTCATTATTTTATTATTGGAAATTCTGGTTCTTGGCGGTTACTGCCTGGATCGACCTACTTTCTTCGCAGTACGTCATAACAAAATGTGCTTGATGAAACACACAAAGTCTAGCCGGGTTTTACTTATAAATAGACCTTTTGACTAACACGTTTACTTTTTTTATCTTTATGCCGCTGTAGCCATCGTATTTGTGGCCCTAAAGAGGGCCGTTAGGTCACAGTTGTTGGCCCTAGGGGCTGTTAGGTGAGGGTTCTTCAGTTATCCGAAGTCCCCCCTTTCCCTTCCCCCCCCCCCCCCCCGGTCGACGTTTTTGGGAGGTGAGTGTCCGGCACTACCACCTTCACTTTTGGCCGGCCAGTGGTAGCTGGAACCACCTTCACTTTTGGGGGGCCCGGCTCCACCTATCGCACCTCTGATGGAAAGCTTCAAAATTGAGGAATACTGCTTCCTTATCTTCTATCATTCGGTGAACATACATTCATCAATGGGCAGACCAGACTTCCTACTCTTGCATAATTTTCGCATGCGATAATATATGTTTATTGAACAAGTTGCTTACACAGAATCAGTCGACCTCCAAATTCTAAGATTTATTTCGCTATTAAACTAAACCACCTGACCGAGACAGTAGGTCTCAAGCTTGCGTCTTTCTCAGCAGATGATATAGAAGTGCACTCAAGTCATGTCCTAACTGACAAAAAGCAGCGCTGGCGCTTCCAAATAAAATGAGCACCATTTATATTGGGTGTTTCATTCTTCCATTATACCTTGATCGTAATCTCAACCTCAGGTGAAGGGGACATTCAGACGCCGACTCAAAATTGGTGGGGACAGAGACATTGCATAATTTGTCGCACCTACCAATATTGCTGCGGCATATCCTTAAGTCAAGTTTTGCCGTCGAATTGTTGTCTCCTGCATGTCAGATATTGAGGTCAGGTAGACACACTTTAGCTTGAATAGTGTCCTTTGTATTTCCCATTTAGTTTGGGAACACTTGCCATAAGCAAAGCAAGCAAAGCATAACATAAGCCAGATCTCATCAGTTTTTAGCAAGCATCAAACCCTTTGCCAGATACTATGGTTTATTGGTAGAAATGCAGACCCTGCATGCTACCCTTTCTACTGATGTAGGTACCTTACAGCTGCGTAACTAGTAGTTTACCAAGAGATTTCAAATAGTTCCACTCCCCAAGTTTCTCGGCTTCACGTTTTATTCCTTTCATTGTTGTAACTTGCATAGACAAACATTTATTTGCCCTTTACCAAATGCATCAAACAACATTATTCTCCTCATTTTTCCTCGCTGCATATCATTCGTTTATCATTACGAACAGATACAAAACAACACTGAGATAACAAAAACAGGCCTCTAAACCAATTACAGATCAAGATCAAAAGTACACCGCTGCAATCACCTTCTACAAAAACTTGTTCCCCGCAAACAATTTTGTGGAACCATATGGGCGCACCATGTTTGGTGAAGGGCTCAATACGGTCTATTGTATACTCTTGAGAAAGCTATCTATACAGGCTATCGCGCGCAGTGTCAAGTTCTTAGTTTCTCATTTTTCAGGACTATAACATATCCGTTTTCGTACTACTCCTGCTCCCAGAAGTTTCCTAGCATCTTCTAGCTAACAGTTTCAGTATTTCAGTAACATTGCAGAAGAACTAAACATGATTTGGTCGGTACAAAATCTTCAAAGATTGTCATGCTTTTGAAGCTGATTGTTCAGAGGAGGAGGTGCCTCAATTATCAAATATTTAAGGATGCGTGCTAATCCAGCGAATAGTTCCGTGGCAGCTTCATTCATTTCTGAGAATTTGACTGGTAGGGGCCACCCCCAACGCGGAATTGAGGAAATTTGTAAGCAATTCAACATGCATTAGAAAATGAGGTGCCCATACATGCTGTTGAGTCAAAGGTTATGTACCTGCTGCTAGCTTCAAAAGTATCTCGAGAAGAGTAACCGATAGCAATATCATCAACTTGAATCATATAAGAAACATGCAATTGAAGAACGCTCTGCAGACTTACTCGGATTCAGTAGTGCGATCGCTTACCGTAATTGTAAGGGAGCAGGCCAATATCATAATAGACCTTTATTAACAATAAGCTTATACGTGAAAGTTTGAGATGCATTTGACAATAATTTTGCACATATTCTTCTAACAAAACAGAAAGATCAGGAAAATGAAGTAAAAAGGGCTCATTCCACACAGCAAAAAACGTGGGAAAAACCTTGCCGGAAAAATATAGACTGAAAGGAGCAACAATTTTAAGAACTGCCAATTCCAAGGGTCTCCGTTCAAGGTACTTCAATAATGTGTGAACTCACTAATGGCACCAGTTTTTTAAGGATTTGAATATGATTGAAGTGAAGGTACTAGAAAAATGGAAGAAACCAGCTCAGGTGGACAAACATGGCCACATTTTGCATCTATGGATTTTCTCAGACACTAATTCTTCAATGTAAGCGATCACTGCTTGATGAAATTGTCTCGCATAAGGCTTGTGAACCTATATACGAAATCCAAAAAATAAGCATATAGAGAAAGTGGGAAAAAGGAAAAGTTGACAACCTTAAGGATTTCCCTGGAAGCACAGTGGATTTCCTAAAAAGTGGGATGATTTGTACACTTCATTTATTGATTCACAGGTTATTTAGAGTTTTTACTGGACGCCTTAGGGATACCACACGAAGAACTTTCACAATTTTCTTCCGAATTTGAACGCAGCCCAAACATGTATGTCCACTTTTATAAGACCTTCCATGCAGTACAGATTTGGGTGATGGTTAAACCTAGCTAACAGCAATGAGGAGCGCAAAAGTCTACAACGAGTTGTCAGAAGCGTGGATGACCTGAAATGGACATATTCGCACTGCCATAGGAAGAGCAATGCGAGTTATTTCAATTTCATGTAGATGTCAATCAAGAATCACGTTTTTCCAAGACGGATGTTCATGCTTATCATTATGCTGAACAAGCAGTTCTTCTAGCATCGAAGGTGCAACTTTCTTCCTCATGAAGTTTACGTTATCTATATGTATATTGTATATGTTTATACATCGAAAACAGGATTTGCGGAAACTGCAGTCGAAGATATGTCGGATGAATGCTTCGTCTTCTGATGCCTTTCCCGTTATTTCTTAGATGCTTAATTCATAAAGTATTTTGCCAATCTTGTTTGTAGAGCATCTCCGATGTTTATGAAAAAGCGTTCTAAAAATATTATAGCATGAAAAAATGTGTAATCAAGGAAAGTAAGACAGACATGAGAGATACGAAGGACAAAAGTAAGGTATCTACGAGTATCTACGAGGAAAGCTACTAGCTCGAGTCGAGACATTATGGTGTCTCCCGCAGGTCATTCCGGGATCCAGGACTCAACCGGAGAACGTCTCTAGGGACAATCGGTTTCCCTCGAAATTTTGTCCCGATTCAAACACAGATATCGCGATTTTGCTCCGACAGGGATTTCGTGTGTCGCGCAGAAATTCCAGGAGATTACACCCTTTTGACATGCACGAGACAACTGCGAATGTCTGAGTACCTCTGCAAGGCAGAGCTGTGAGATCCTGGATCTTAATTACATATAAAAATATCAAGATAAAACAAGTTACTCCAAAAACAGTGACTAGTAAGGTGAGTTCATCCCTAGCTTCGTATCGAATCCCAACTTTGTTCGACGCTGTTCACGAGTAAAACTGCGAATTGAGCGTAATTTGATCACTTCGTTGACTATTAGGATGACAACTGTCCATATTACAATTCCTGAGAGGGAGATAAATGAGAGGACTTGGTGTAGAGGCACTCCGGAGCAGTACGAAAAAAGTATCTGTAACAAATGTCACTTATTGTTGGATTCTGGGATTTCATAAGTCGAACTAGATTTACCTGCGTTGAGGTACAAATAATACAAGATGATATCCAAGGTATGCATAACAATGGATTGTCATTCCAAAATGAACTGAGAGGATATACCCATGCAGAAGAAAGCGCACACAAAGAGATTGCTTGCTGAAAGTCCTGGAGTGAGACTAATAGACAGAAAACTTCTTACTTACGTATAAACCAACAATGTGTCGTATGGAAGTTGTCGATAAGGGCGCTTCAGACAAATGCTCGGTAGCAACCGAACAGACCACATCAACGAAGGCGCACGATACTGTAGAATTTCCAACTAACTGAAAAATGATGGGCATCTAAACTGCATAGCCCGGCAGTAAAAAACTTACCAAGAAAAAGAAAACTATGACAAGAAATAGAGAGGTAGGCAGAAACCCGAGAAAAAAGGTAACAACTGCCCAAGAAAAGTTTTGTCGATATACCGCTACAACATTCTAAAACAGATATAGCAACAAGCATAAACAATTTGAAATCGAATAGTGAAGTAGAAAATTTTGATTTTCCATGTCATAACGGTGTGGGCGGACTCAGTTTTTTTCACATATGGTCGCATAGATGTAATATCTATGGATCTTATATATAAAGCTGAATGTCTGTTTGTCTGTCTGTCTGTATGTCTGTCTGTCTGTCTGTCTGTACGTATGTTCCAGTGGCGTACCCAGGATTTCGGCTCGGGGGGGAGGGGGGGGCGCGACAAAAAATTTTTTCTAATGAAGGTGCGTGGCGTTAGCCACGCACTCCGAAAAATTTTTGGGGATGGTTTCAAAAATTTTCGCGGCCTCATAACCCCGAAAATCCAGAAAAAGGGGGCGTGGCTGACGCCACGCCCCCGAAAAAATTTTTTTTATAAAGCTAATTTGAATTTTTAAAATGTTTTAAAAAATATTTTAATTATTTACAAGTATAAACAAGTCATTTGCACATTTTTATAACCCTTATAAGTAACTTTCAAAAATTTCGCGACCCATTCTCGGGGGGGGGCGCGCGCCCCCCCCCCCCCCCCCGCCCCCCCCCCTCCTCGGTACGCCACTGGTATATTCCGAATAGAAAATTCCATTTCTGAACCGATCGGGACCAAACTTGGCACACATACACTTCGGGCCCCGGCGGGTGTCATAGGCTACTTTTCGTCATCGATCGATATCGATTTTATCGATTTTTTGCAAAATTTGAGCTACGGGGCTGGGAGTTGGCACAGGGGGGTAATCGAGCATGCTGATCACCCCCGTGGGGGTGATCAGCATGCTCGATTACACCCCTCAGCCAAATTCCAGCCCCCTAGCTCAAATTTTGCAAAAATCGATAAAGTCGACATCGATCGATAACGAAAAGTGGACTGTGACACCCGCCGGGGCCCGAAGTGTATGTGTGCCAAGTTTGGTCCGGATCGGTTAAGAAATGGAATTTTCTATTCACATACGGCGGAGCCGGGTAAGCCAGCTAGTTTAGAATACAATATTAGTCCATTCCATGATTACACCCCTCCCCTCTCCCTTGTCGGGACGCAGCTAAGCTCCGCCTGCTGCTCTCCCGTGAGCTGGCCGACAAGGTCAGATAGAAGCCAGTGACCCCCTACGACCGCGCCCCGTAAGGCTGCCTAGTCAGTCTTCCCCCTTCCCCTTTCTTGTAATATATGTAGATAATAAATATATATAATACCAACCTGTACCGCTACACATCAAGCTAGGGCCCGTACACCCCTAGACTTGACATGGAGGTCCTGGGGAAGATTTCTTATTCATTAGAATTCTAGAATTATTTTTTTCCTCTTCTCAACTTTTGATATGGGTTTCAAAAAAACTTACCCCCCCCCCCTCCCTCCCCCTTCTACAATCCGATCGATCGCTATGGACGTCACCAACGAACAATTGTGTGTGAGTGTTCTTTTATTTTGCACAAAATATATTAGCCGTGTGAGTGAAATATTTAATCTCTGTGTGAGTCAAATATTTAACCTTTTCAGAAAGAAAAAAAAATTATTAAATAAAATAAAATAAAAATTATTTATACAGTCCTGCGAACAGTCCCATTTTGTCAATTTCTTTCTTTCGTAAAGCGCTCGCATTTTCCGTGATCCGTGATTCCGTGAATCCGTGAATTTAAAAAGCGCATTTAGCAGCCGTGATCCGTGATGCCGTGATCCGTGATCCGTGAATCCGTGATCCGTGATCCGTGAATCCGTGAAACCGTGACTCCGTGAATTCTTTTATTTAACTTTCTTATTTTTCTCTTTTTTAATATAATTAGACAATGGACTTGTTCGCAATCGCTAGCTTAAAAAAACTGCAGTATTAGACCCAGAAAGATAAATCTGCTGGCCCACTGCAGATAACTTCTGCTGGGAAGTGTCGACAAAACGTAATGCTTCGAACTCTTAGGAAATATAGCAAAACCCAGTGCTACTGTCCGCGCGCGGTGACCCCCTTTGGCTATAGAGCAACGCAGCTGCCCTCGCAAGTTGTAAGCATGTGACCCGCGACAAATTTTTTTTTGTGACAAATTAATATTATTTGAGCGCTATGACCTTTCAGCTGCGATAGTGCAAATACGTCTGCTTTGTGTCGCGATAAGCCTTGGAACAGGATTAATAATTGCGTAACCTAACCTTTTACGATCATGGTATACGTCCAACAGCAGCAGTTGCACAGTATGACCCCTTAGCGTCTGTTCTTATGCAACTTATACTGCCAACAACAACAGTTGTGCCCGATGTCCCGCTGCCGTATATCTTACGCAAATTATATTATCGTAATATTTACCTTCTGCTGTCGAATACAAAACCACTTCAAACCTTTTGAAATATTTAGAAATATTCATACTATACACAACACTAATTATATTGTTTGCTGTTTCATGAAAATGATACACGTCTAGATCAATAAAAAAAAATTTTTCGACAGCTTTGGTGATATTCCGCGCCTCACAGATAATAATAGCACTCAAATCATTCTTAGTGCAGGATCGTACTTTTGAAGATTTACCGCGTTTTGCTGCAATTTCCCATCCATTGAACAAACTGCGCATAAAAAAAATGCAGTTTTTTTGGAGCAAGGAGTAAGAAATAGCATTCCAAGCATTAAAACATGCCCTAGTGGATGCGCTTGTTTTAGTGCTTCCTATTCTAGGAAAACTTTATATCATCCACACCGATGCATCAACCATCGGTCTCGGCGCGTGCCTCCTACAAGTCAATCCGGAGACTAGTAGTGAACATTTGATCGCACAATACAGCCGCCGTCTAACAAGACACGAGAGGAATTGCGCAACTATTAACTTAAATTTACTATAAGTTGCCATTACAGTAGTTCTGTGTTGATAACTGACCATACACCGCAAAAAAAAAATCACCCATGCGTAGGTCAGATCTCGTGCGTCGCCGTGCTAAACAAAAGCAAGTAATTATTTGTCTCTTTTAACATCATGTCGGTTCCTATAGCCTCCACTATGAGGAACAGTCGGCATGCCTCAAAAGTTAGATGACAATTACGCTGCTGTTTCAGGCGAAAAAAAAATTACATTAGTATGTCCACCGAATCTGAAGTAGTCAAACAAACGCGCTTCCGTATTGCACTCAAGAAATTTATTTTAAGGCACGAAAATATAATGAGATTTCTTCACCAACTGCTGCGCATAGCATACAGCTGTTGAGAAAAAAGGATTTTTGAAAAAAAAGGAACAACTACCACTTTGCATTTATTGGCCCCAATTCCAAGATTTTTGTGCAAATCAAGTCGATATTCGAGATGCGTAACTTCTAGACCCAACCTATAACTCACATTTTTTTTGACAAAGCTAATTAGGAAAAAAAATTAAGCGAGATTGCTTTGGCTGTATTTTTCAGTATGTCCTCCGAATGTCTTTTGAGCAATGTTAAAAAAATTTTTTATATTGCAATGAAAAAATCCTTAACTAATTTTTCGTTGTCTGAGACTATAATTTTGCTGAAGAAAAAGCTATATGTTGGTAATCCCTAAAAATATATTCAACTACATAGACTCGTTCGAGGTGAATAATGTCGGTTATGGAGACAATCACAGCATTATCATATTTGCTATATATAATCTTTTCAAAACTTTGAAAATAAAATTACGATACAGCTAATTTCACAAGAAAAAATCCTGAAATTTAGGTTTTATTCCACAAGTGAGTAAAAAAAATTCTCTGACTATTTAACCTTCAGGAAGTAATTCTTTCAACGTTTTGTAAGTGTTAATTCATTTATGTGGCTTGCTCCTACTAGGTTTACTCGGAAAACCTTCCAAACCTTCTTTCAGTAAATACTCTTCGATATGTATACTATAGACAGGTTGTTGCAGATTTTTTTTTGAAATTTTTACGAGTAATGAAAAAAAACGAAATATCCTTTATTTAAAATTCAAAATATATCTCACAAATGCTATATTTGTAGAGACAAGCATCTGAAATACGCAACTATACAACTCTGCTCACATAATTCAGCTCAGGACTACTACTTTCACTCAGTTTTTGAAAATTCAAGGAACTCAAATTTCGCGCGCTAACAAAATTTCAGCAATGAACCGATTCTGGTTATTCCTCACAAAGTTTTAATGATGCAGTGCCAATGTCTAACAAAACATTTCTCATAGTCATTTTTAAAAAAAAAGAACGGAATACAGACAGCATCAGAATTGTACTTTACAACGCGTATTTGCGCATATCTTCAAAAGGAAAAAAAAGCAAGCTCACTTACACAAAATCTGTTAGTCTCCAAATTAATCTACCACTTCAAAGAATCTCCTCGTTATTTTAAACAGATTTTCAGAAACACTTGCTTTCTTCTTAATCTAGATTTAGAGAAAAATTTGATTTGATTTCATACTTGTATTAAACATGAAATAGAGATTCAGAGAAAATTCTCGCTGACAATGAGATAGATTTTTCTGCTTGAGTTGAAAATTCTTCAAAGCTTCTGGAAACAAATGGACCTCTCATCCATAATTTCCAATGGTCCTATTGCTAGGAATTTCTTCTCATTGTTGAACAGAATCTTGTCCGTATTAGAGCTTGCTTATGTCAAATGAATTTTTTTTGATAAGAAAAACACCACTTAAACTAAATCAAACCGCTTTCATTTGAAGTACTCTAACAAAATGCGTCATGGTATCAATTTTACACTGTTCAAACGTATTTGAAATTTCTTCTGAAAAAACCGTCAGCATATTACAGAATTTTACCTCAGAAGCCCAAAATAAAAAAAAAAATCTACAGAAGCGCTTATTCGGCCTTTATTATGATTACACATCTACTTTCGAAATAGCATTCTCTCAGCTCTTACAATCAGTTCAACAGACCTATGAAAACATGAAATAAGTTGTTGCATTTCAAAAAAAAGGATTTTCTTTTTTTTTCCATATTTTTCTTCAAAATTTTTACCAATTACATAAATGATCTTGATCGAAAAAACCTCGCCAGTCATGTATCAAATATCGCATGCAGTTTTTGAAAGTGCGAATCTTGAATCTCAACTTGAAATCAAAATTTTTTCTAGGGGCTACAAGTCAAATTTTTCATAACGTACAGGGTCTATTCATGCGTGAAAGCATCCTCGAATTCGGTTTGCTTGCCAGCGCTTTTATAATTCTGAAAAATACATTTTTATGAGATGAAAGGCTTTATTTTTTTTCAAAAGGATAATACACTGAATTCAGTTTTTTACATTTCCCAAGCATCACGAAACACTTTTTTTTGAAGAATGATTTGACAATTGAAACCATTGCTAAATATCTGTTCTCTCTGAAAAAAAAAATCACAGTTCATTTCACTTTATACAAAATCAAAATATTTTCTATTGAAAGGAAGAACTAACAGTTCTGTAGATTCAAAGCTTCCATAACGCAATCAGTCTCATGATCGAGCTAAATTCGCGAATGAGAAGAACCAATTTTGAATGCAAAATGGCATATTTTTTCTGCAAGTCAAAGTTTAGTTGATTTAATAAAAAAGTCTTGCTAGAAAAAAAACGACATGTATCAGTAACTTGTTTTCAAAGCTCTCACCATCAAATTTTCAATCAAACTCTATTTCACATACCGAACAACGCTGCCTTCCTGAACGATATGATAGATTCGCAATATTTCTTTACAGAAAAGACTACGAGTTTTTCGCTAAACTAGAGCCAGCAAAAAAAAAAATAGCTAATGAAACTTTCGCATCCGCTGAATTTACCGACAGAAGTCAAAGCTCGGCCAAGCTTTCCTTCTAAACGTCTAAATTCTACACGAAGCATACAAGTTTTTGTTAGAACAGATGAACAGAAGTGCACAACCTAAAATATCTAAAATTCTGATTCTCACGCACTGAGGCAATGAAAAAAAAAGAGATGTTCAGACGTGAATATTCTTCTTTTTCGAGATTTTCAAATTTTCTCAATTTGAGAGTTGAGATAAATTTTCCTCAATGTGATTGAAGTTTGTCCTCAATAACTTTTTTCGTACATCATGAGGTACTCGTTCAGATAGATGAGACCTCTTCATGTTCTCTAAGGTTTTACCAAAATATGCGCAAAAGTATTCAGATTCAAAAAAAAAGTGGACACACTATTGGTAAGAACATTGGAATATAGCAGTTCCTCCAGTTTTGTGCAATTGCACAAACCAAGTCTGCATTACGTTGTTAAACGTAGCAATCAGAACTACAATTAAAAATATTTTCAGAGAATATTACTTGTAGCTGAATGGAGATTGTTTTCAGAGAACAATTCTCTTTTAACCGAAACGCTTCACAGAAGAAATAACTTGCTGTTTGCCAAAAAAAAATCCTCAGCGCTTCTGAACATGTTGAGATATCCAGATTGATATTCTGATCGGAAGCAATGACCGCATTTTTTTGAAAGGTGATCAGCCGAAGTTAACCATAAGCAACGGAAGGCATAGTTTTTTTCACACTGAAATTCATTCCTGGGAATGAAAAAGAAACGGTTTAGAACGTTTCACGTCACCCAGTCCTCGTTTTTTCCCTAGAAAACGATGGTGATGATTCCTTTACAGATTTCAGCAGAATTCAGGACCAATCATACCATAGAATTTTCTATACTGGATCTGGACGTTGAAGAAACATAGATATTCATAGATTGCACATTAGTCGTGAGTTACCACATGATGTTAGGATCATTTCCGCTGAAGTTCGTATACTTATAATTCAAGAGCTACGTATCGTAGTTTCTGCTGTGGAAACGTTCTATTGCATAGTTTACTATGCCATAATGTACTGCTAATTAATTTTGTATGATTTAGTTTGCGTTTTTCATGTTGTCTATGTCGAAAATGGGCTAATGCTTCCAAAAACGCACTATTTCAAAAAAAAACGATTTAAAAAAAAGGAAACATCAGAACATAAACGACATCATGTTTGTTTTGTTCACGAATTTAGTCTTGAATTTAGTCGCAAGACTGCAAGACAATTTTTGAATGCAACTCAGTTTGGAAAAAATCAGACTATCAGAGTTTTATTTTTTTTCTGCTATCTGGATATTTCTCAACGTGAGTTTGTTTACACCTATTTCGCCGCACCGCTGCGATTATCTATAAGCATAAATTTCTTTGAACCGGCAGTTCAAAGAATGAAAAAAAATATTTTGTGCTAGGCAGCGAAAAAAAAATTTCCCATTTCTCTAACACTCAAAATTTGCCACTATGTTGAATTAAACACAGTTTGTTGTGCTCAATTCTGCATCCGAATCTTCCTCTCCATTTTCTAAACAATTGCATTATTTATATGATGTATAACCACTCAGTTTATGACTCAGTTTAAATTATGCAATGCCTTATTATACCTTATTATATCACACGTCCTAAAATTCCGTATGTAGCTTGACTATTTTATGTAAAATACTTCAGAATTACTAATGTCATCCAATATCGCCCAATACTTTGTTAGCTATGTAATTTCTGCTCACAACACTATCTTTTTTTTTCATTATCATGTTCTACAACAAGTGCCCTTCAACCCATAACTTCATCGTATCAACATTCAAATACCGGTCACATTATACTCCTATAAATCTCCACGCCAACTTTCCCATTCGTCAATTTCCGGCTATAATACGCCTGTTCACTTCCTACAACTACATGTTACTGCCTCTCCCAAGCAGTCCCCTACGTCACATCGTTCATTCCGTATATATCTCTCCGCTTGAGGACAAGCTCACTCTGTACCCCTAGGATGAGGTGAAGGTCGCTGTTTGGTTATCCAATCCGCCTAAGCCAACTCCTCCACTCAATCAGTCTGGAGATTATGGTACCCAAATCGAAGTTCTCTATGGTCTCGCCGTAACACGTGTACTCCTTACACACGTAACTCGGAAGACGTTCAACAACAGCCGAACAAGCTCGAGGACGAGCTTTCTGAAGGAATGGAGATGTCGGGACGCAGCTAAGCTCCGCCTGCTGCTCTCCCGTGAGCTGGCCGACAAGGTCAGATAGAAGCCAGTGACCCCCTACGACCGCGCCCCGTAAGGCTGCCTAGTCAGTCTTCCCCCTTCCCCTTTCTTGTAATATATGTAGATAATAAATATATATAATACCAACCTGTACCGCTACACATCAAGCTAGGGCCCGTACACCCCTAGACTTGACACCCTTGACCCCGGGTGAGTTGCAAAAATTTCACAAGTTACCGAAATGACTTGTTTGTTGTAGATAATTCAGATATTGATTGAAAATTTTTGAAGTCACAAATTAGCTTTGTAGAAGAAAATCGCGGGGAATGCCACCGCCCCTCCCCTTTCTCTAGAATTTCTGATGTTATCAGCCGTGAGGAACTCCGAAAAGCGTCGCAAACTTTTTCTGCGCGTCCTCACTCCCCATAACTAAAAAAATCCTTTTGCGAACTGGAAAAATTTTCTGACCAAAAAGTTCTCAAACTGAAAGAGCTCCATTTATTTTGCATCGTCAAAGAGTAAGTTACCACCAACGAAAAGGTGTACAATCCATTTTTGATCACAACGACTTCGTCCCGATTTTCGCCAGTTTCAGTAAAAGTTTCTAATTCGATACGCTTCTAATTGTTCAAATAACGTACTTTTGGAGGTCCTGGAGATAAAATGTGATAGAATTCTTTGAATCATCTTAGTCAAAACTGAATGTTTCGAACTTGGAAAGTTTTTTTATGAGTCACAATATTTGATGACAAGCTGGAAGTGCTTGACCAAACCTTGGACGAGATTCGGATGACGTTTGTCTTGGGATGAAAGGGAGTAAACACGGATCCTAGAGTGAGGCACGGCAGATGTATGAAGACAGTGAGGAAAGTCTGAAAGGTCGTAATCAATCATATGTCGATCCCAGTCCTAATGCAGAGAACTCACTTGGTCATAATCAAAAAGCAATGGCAGGAAAGCAATGGCACTGAGCAAAAGCGACAAGGAAACCATACAGGAGCTGAAGAGATGAAATGCCAAGGATCCACGAACTGATGCCAAGCGATGTCGACAAGCGACGATGAGACGAGGTATGGCGAGTACCTAACAATAAGAAATCGACAACAAGTAGCGAAGACAGAGAAAATCATGTACCCTGTCATAAGTCAGCCCAAAGTCACTGGCGGTGCTCATAAGACGGTCAACGATCTCCTTCATTTGCTGCCATTCCTGTGCTGGATTTGCGCAACAACTCCAATCACCCACCGGTAGGATACTCATTGATACATCTGCCTTAAATCATAAAATGGTAATTTCTGAGCACTTTCCAACAGGGAGCACCAAGCAGCACCAAGCGGGATTAACCAGTCTGCTAATCCTAATCGGGCACTATTTCACGAGCGTCTGATCGAGTAATGGCTGCCCATTTACAACAGTAGAACAGCGCCCGATCAAGACCGAGGGATTGATACCACTCCTTGAAGCACTACCCAGCAAAAGACAAGAAAAAACATTTGGACTGACCTGCAAAAAAATATCTGTGTTTGCAACCGACAATGAAGACCCAATGGCCAGCACCATTTCTCCGTAATCCTAGAATATTTTTGTTTCCTTTCCTTACGACGTATCCACAATCTTATTACTAAAAAAACTTACCTGCATAATTTTTAACATTTCAAGATTTGCCTGCGGTATACAATCAGTGATGAGATTGACCAGTAAAGGCACATTATCAACCTGCTCCAGATGAGGTCGCACAGCAGCTATCCCCGTTGGAAGCTGAGCCTTATTTGGGAGCACGATTACCTATAAGAATCACAAGAATGGATTTTAGGAAGCTGAGAGAAATGTGAACAATTCATGCTTACTTTGGAGGGCGCCTGGCTTGGCTGTCTTTTGATCAGCGGTGATTCCTGGTCATAGGAAGAAATACATTTCAAATGTAAGTGTTGCTCTGATCTGCGAAGGTAGAAGATTGTCAATTATAATGAGAAAAATTGTCTACATACCTCGATTTTTTGAATGACTTTTTCTCGCTCTTTCCACTTTCACGGTAAACTGAAAGGAACCATGATTGAAAACAAAAATAAATAGATCATTTTGTAAAGAGATGGTCAGTGGGGGTAGATTTATTTCTCAAAAACCTTGAAGAAGGTGACTATCTTATACTTGCAGATAACAACTAAAGATTTTTGATGATTATTTGCAAATAACGGCAAAACTTTCCTAAATCTTACGAAAAAATCAAGTTCAGAAAATTTTCTGACGACATAAGCTTACAAAATTTTGAAAAGTATCCCTAGCATTTCCGTAGGGCAAGGCTAACACCAATTTTGTCGATCTCCTTCCACCCCTCCTTCCCAAAAATTGGTTTTGTGCATATTCAGTAATATTATAGTAAAGTTGAGACCTCTAAGACATGCTTTGAAAATATTAAATGTTCCTAAAATTCAAAAAAGCCCACCCTTAGACAAGAAAAAATCTTTCAGCGTTCTTCCATCTTCACAAACTTCAGCCAGGGAGACGTGACAGTTCCATCCTGCCTCCAAACCTAAACTAATGTAGAATACTGTAGATACTACGAGATCCATTGATTTTCGGTTTAATGTACCTAATTTTTCCGCAAATACGCGACTTCTGAGCTCATTCTCACGTGAAAAATACACAAATCGAACGCAAAGATTTTCCAACTGATCGACCAACTGTACTGCTTGAGGCATGACCTGTAGCTCACAGTTAAATGCCTTACAGTTAGATTAGCCGTAAATCTAGTTGTGAGATATAGCTAACCTCATACTGCGAAACTATCATTCCACATAGAATATGACCAGTGAAGTAATTCTGGATCACTTCGTCTGCGTTTTTTGGAGTTGGAGATTGAAAGAATGTGTCTCCTTCGACAATATCTGAGGAGACAGTCATTTGATGTTTGGCAAATTTTCAGCTTGGTTCATGAGTAGCTATATCCTCCGAAACCAACCTACGCTATGTGCCCGAGCAGCAGTCTTAGTCCTGGGACGATCGTGCAGCAAGGGCACTTCAAAGTAGGAGTTCAAAAATTGCTCGCTTAACGGCTGATGCACAGGACGATATGACAATGCTAGGCAATAACTGCAATTCAGAACCTAAAAATTTTTTGGGATTATTATTTAGGATTATACCCAGTGACTGAGTGCCGCTGGTAGAAGTCTGTTGCAGTTTTGCAAACGCGATCCGTGATTGGCACAAGAGACTCCCCATTCCAAACATGTGTGCAAGCCTAGACAGCATCAGTTAAACACTTAGAATTTCTGAAATGAACTAGGTAGGAGGAGAGAGCACACGAAGGAGAGTAAAAAGAAAAAGAAACTCTGTGTTCACTGCTTACAGATAACGCAATGTGTGCTCCGAAAATACTCCACATTGTCCCTCTCCTAATAAAAACGCATTTTCATTCATTAGATCTGCGCAAAAGTTTTGTCATTATTCTTTGATATACAGTGAAGATGACCAAATACTTTAAACTGTGTCCGATGCCGAATTTTTTTCTCTTTTCAGCTGCTGTAGTCCACTGCTGCATTCTCAAAGTGATTTGATGAAAAAGGCTAAGGTATTCGCTTTCTCCATGTTCGACTTTCGCTGATATCCATGATTTTTGAATACTTTCGAAAGTGCTCTAATAGCCTGCTGATAGGACAAACCTTTTGCGAATTGATGCAATTTTTTTTAGCTCTTTGCATCTCTTTCACAATCTCTATGATTTACTTTTTGAAGTGACCAAATTACATATTCATCCTATGCTAAACTCATATATAGAACATTAAACATCAAACATTCAGGTACCATTCGAAGAACGCGAAATTTGTGGAGAAAATCACAGTATTTCTCAATTTTACGACTGCGCACTTTGAAGGGGAAAAATCGCTTATTTAGTTTTCTAAGTTAGTAATAGTGATGATAGAGTTTAGAGCCTCAATTTTCTGGGAATTCTGCTGTGTTTGGTGCAATAACGTATTATGAAATTTTTCCAAAACTTGAGGTTTGAAAATTATTTAGTAAAATTCCCAAAGAGAAGCTGAGAGGAAATAAAAAAGTTCTTTATTTGGCAAAAGCTTCGCCTTATCTGCTGGCTTTCAAAGCTCCCCAACTCAGACGAAATTCTTGAGATTTAGCGAAAATTAGACAGAGTGAAACTAAAGATTGTGATCTTCAGCGATTATTCTACCGTATTTGCGCCGGTGGATTCAAAAAACTGACAAACCTGCATCGACTTGACTTTTCGCATGAATTTTTATGATTTGCGAACAAATCGAAAGCAAGCTTGGTTCCTTTGCTTTGAAAGCATTTCTTAAATAGTTTGTCCAGATTTGTACCGGTCTCATGGCACATTAATTTTTTCGCAAAGTTGAGGGTAAAACTACATAGATTGGCCGTCATTATACCTGGTAAATAACATAGACTAAAGACGATAATTTCCAAGAAGTTATAGATAAATGTTAGAAAGAAGGAGAAGAAAAGAGAGGGACATGGTTTCAGGAATTTTTCGGGAAGGGGAGCATAATTTTTCGGATTGAGGGGCGTGGCTAACAAAAAGTTCCTTAGAACTTCGCCCCTCTGATAGGTTGAAGGACTTTTCTACTAAGAGCTTGCATCAACAAAGCTATTCTTAACTATCGAACGTAGATGGCAGCATTCCATCGCCAGACGAGGCTAGAACAAAAAGTTCATGAAAATTTGATCAAGGTACATATAGCAAGATTTGTACAGTTTGAGCAACCGTCCCGAAATAAGCTCTGTATTGTGAAACTGCCACCTGAAAAGCGTCAGCGTGTACACATAAACTCGTTACTTACGTCTAAAATCAGATTAGCAGTTCCTTGACAAGACATGTGGTAGTATAAAGAGCGATCATCCTCATGTATTGCACAATACGCCATTTCGAGCGGAGTCTGATGTTTGGTAAGACTAAAAACAAACATTATGTCTCTTCCGAGTGCCAAGAACCATTACAACTTACCCTGGAAGTGGTGCTTCGCCAGGTCTTCTCTGATAAAAACATAGTGGTTGCGGATTTTGCCACCGTTCTAGACAGCTCGGCTTGAACCTCAAAAAAAAGTCATGTGTTTTTTCTTCAGTGTTTTTGTGCTCGAAATTACCCGATAAGCTGAGGAAATGCACAGCAGCAACGTCTACAAGCAGTAGCGATTGTTCTAGGAACCGTGGTTGCGACGGCGGAAAGGTGGTCGAGGAACGGAGTAAACGAATTGTCACAACGATTCATTAGAAGGCACTGTCCGATAACTCTCAAGTTGTTGTCGAATCGGAACCTGGACCATGGGTAACCTTTCTAACTCAAATTTTGGTAATTCAGCAATAAAATTTTGCAGCATGAAAATTAGAATAAGTCAAAATTAACCAGCCAGCAACTCATAAGAATTCTTTGATATTATACATTACGCATTTGCGGCTAGATCATACCAGTTCGGATCATCAAAGTCTACGCAACAAGAGCCATCTTGATGCAGTTCGGAGCTCAGATCCAGGATTTCCATGCCCACGTCGCTCTTATCTAGGCCTAAATAAAATTTTCATCCAGATTTTCTTCATATCAAGCAAAAGTACAAAGATTACCGACTTACCGCTTTCGTCAGTGTTTGGTCGAAAGAAGATTACTTTATCCAAGCAAGGGTTCATGGGCGACAGAAGGCCTTTCTTGTCGAAAAAGGATGTCCCAGTCAGACTACCAAGAAGTGCCGCAAAGTCCTTTGTTGAGTTTCCTGAATTACACGAGTTATCCAACAAATACTAACCTGAACACCGTTGAAGGAGAAGCTAAAGTAAGTAAAAAACCTACCATTTGAAGTGTGCAATTCCCTGACCACTAGCGCGTTGTTCCTGAAGAACTCAAAAATAGCGAAATCGAGATTTTTCAAAAGTATCCAGATATTTGATTGAATTAACTAGTTATTACACCTATCAAGCTCACATACGCTAATTTCTAAATTTTTTTGCAAACTCCTCATACGGTATATCCCCAGACAACACTTTCTAGAATCTTACCTTAGACAATATCTTGTTTCAGTATTTGCTAAAACTGCAAAATAGGACCATACTCAGTATTCGCTGAGCATTATTCATGTGGAGTGAGTCAAGTCCATTTCACAATAAAAATCAGATCTTGGCACTTTCCTTATGCCTGAGCGCACGAAGCTTTGTTCGCTAAATGCATCAAAAAGGTAAAGTGTCTTGAACAGGTATTAGTGAGAGTTTGAAGGAGTTGATAGAAAAATTCGTTTGCGCTATTCGTACTTAAAAGCTAGAATCATTTTTTGGAAGGTTAGAAAATTTGCTGGGCAATTGCAAGACTTTGACTAGCTATGGCGATAGAACATAAATGAGAATCTAACGTTAGGATTACCTAATAAATGAAATTAACGTGGCAGGGTGTTTTCGTTTGAGCAAGTTCGCTATTTACAAGTGATTATATTATAGCGTGGCACGAAGGGCAGAAGAAAGGTAGCGAAAAATCTACGGATCAGCGCAAAGATGTTTTTTTTGAGATTTTGAGCGGAGCGTGCACTTTCTACCTAATTACCTGCAAAACAAATTTATCTGCGGAATATAAATTTGAGAAAAGCTGCCTTGATAAAGGCCAGTCCTGTTTTTTGTGATATGCAATATTTTGATAACCCAAAACAAATCTGTAATATATAAGACAAAAACGGCATATTTGATCTTAAGATCGGGTTTAAGCTAAAGTGGCCAACGATGGTGGAATCCTCAAATGCTGTTGGCGAAGAAAAGCATATATTCAGAACAGCATAGCTATTAACGCAAGCTAGGGATCGAAAACAAATATCTTGATAAGTGTTGCTTCGACTCGTGCAAAAGAGAAATTTTTTGAGGTTCATAGACCGCAAACAACTTTCTTCATAGACAAGTTTCAGCAGAGTCGCATTTGATGGGTAGACAAAGTATTCTCCGTAGTGGAAAGGACGAAAGCAGAAACTTTCGGGAAGCTGTATAATAAAGTTTTGTATGCCTTATTTCGATACGAGAAGCAAAATTCTTAAACGTATACTTACCATCCACGAATGAAGATTAGAATGAAGAAATAAGTGGGAGTCAGTAGAGGTAACAAGATCAGCGACGGTATAGCAAAAATAAATCTGAAGAGAATGATTGCAGCTGACGGAATCAGATGAAGGGTGATGCCGTACCTCGTAGAAAATAAAGACTGGTCCCCATCGTGGATAAAACGACCGACACAAGCGAGAATACTCAAGAATATCAGGGCGGGTAGCAATACGCGTTCGCCTATCACATGAAGACAGTAATGTATCTGTAAGCATATTTTGAATTGAGTTAAAAAATTCACCTTCTCAAAACTCGCCAAACTGCTGCTATCTCAAATAGAGGTTAGCGAACAGAAGTAAAACACCATCCCAGGAAGGGTACACCCGAGTTGAGTACGAAACAAAAAGCTGAAGAATCTTTCATGTTCTAGAGCCTTGGGTATGTGTAGGCCATTCGCTCTAGAATGATGAAAATGCAAAAGAAAAAAAAACAAGCTTCTTGTTTCCAATTCATTCTTTCCATGGAGAACTGAAGGGATTATGATTTTTCCGAGAGTAAGCGACAAAAATTGAAATTGTTTTTCACAATGTCTCAGATGATGCTTGATCGTCATTCTTCGTTTTCCCTAACGTTGGTAGCCCAGATATCTGTATACTCAAAGGAATGCAAAGCACGATTTTTCGAAATTTTCAGTGTGTAAGATTATTATTATTGCGATCTAGCATACAAAAATTCGATTGAAACCGAAACGTTCATTTATAAGAGATCTAGAGGGCAGTGCAGAGAAAAAGAACATTGAATGAGTCGGAGGCGGATAAAGCATATAACATCCGGAAGTCATATCTTAAGTATCCTCTTGAGACTAAAATACCGCTCGTAATTTGTGGAAAAAAATAAGCACGGTAGCCCGATTTATGTGGAATTACCGTAACGTGGCCATATCTCGTTTCAGAGTTGACGGATTTCTATCCAACGATTCGATTCAGGTGGGCGCGACGCGTCTTCAGATATACACAGGGTGTCTCAAAAAGATGTGCACAATGTTTGATCATTAATAACCCTCTTGGCTTCATGTCTTTTGCAGAGCTTGAGGCAGCATTCTGTAGAGCGAGGGTAAATTTGGATTTACAGTATGGAGCGAATCACCGATCACTGTTCATTACTGTAGGATCACAGTATAAACTTTCAGCATACAGCAACACTGTGAAATAAGCCTTCTGATGAAATAATTTCAAAAAAATCTGAAAATTTGTGTAGCAGGGTTTTCAAGCGTGCTGATTACACTACATAACTTTCCAACAGTTTTTCGAGCTTTCTTGATGCCGTATTCACGTTTCTGACAAACATTTAAAAAAATAGTAGTTACCCTAAATCTGAAATGACTCATGAAAGAAACAGTGTACTGACGTGCAGTTTTCATAATTAGAATCAGCAACTTCGATTTATCCAGTTCCAGAGCTTCTGGCTTGTTTGGCTTTCTTTGTGAGGCAAAATACCGCTTTCAATGGCTTAAAATCCTCCTCGAAATTCCTACCGTATCCTACAGTAATGAAGAGCTGCTGATAAGTCGCTCCACACCGTGAATCTAAGTTGAACCTCGCTCTAAAGAGTGTCTTTTGGCAAAAGACATGAAAGTAAGAGAGTTATTAGCGATCAAACAGTGTGCACATCTTTTTGGGACACCCTTATAAGGGCCCGCTTGGACACAGTAGGAAGTCAGATTCTAAGAATTGTTTCAGATTTTTGCTTACGATAGATCATACACTACGCTTATTCATTGCAGAGCAGCCTACCGTAAGCAAAAATCTGGAACGATTCGCGGAATCTGGTCTCCGTGTCCAAGTGGGCACTTCCATATATCAGAAGATGCGCTGCGCCGGCTGAGTCGAATGTGCCCTCGAATTAAGAACTCGTCCATGCTGAAGCGAGATATGACCACACTACGGTGATGTCACCTGAATCGGGCGGGTATGCGTTGTTATTGCAAAAATTACGAGTGGTATTGTACGAGTGAAGAATCATAAAAAACAGCTAGTTCTACAAACCTGATGCTCTAGCGGAGACGGTTTTTCCTCAGCTACTTCAATGGTTTTTATGTGGTCAATCAGTGGAGTTGAAGCAGCAACAACCTGATGAATTGAATCTTGCACAGAATAAGCATTGGAGTCTTTAAATGCATGGACATACGCGAACTGCTGTAATCGGCGTAGCTGTGCCAGTGCTCTCGTCCAATACTACTTTACTCAAGTATCGTTCGCCTTTTTTCATGAGTCGACCATCTTGGAATCGACAATCACATGGAGCGGCCTACATTTCTACATTTTGTTATCAGAATCTTGGTACATCTAAACTCCTACAAACTCACCTGCGACGGTCTCAACAGAAGAGTGTCACCTTCTACTAATAGGAGTTTTGGCACAGAAACAACCCTGCGGTCACGAACAGCCGTTTGGGTGAACATGTCATCTGACAATGGCTCCCCTACTGGGGCATAAGAAAGCGGAACTGTAGACATCTGGAAAAAAAATTAGTGCTGACACTGATTATTAGTAGCCCGCCTGGACGAAAATGAAGCAGAAAATTCTTCCTCCGAATCAATTAACTGAAACATAAGCAACAGGAAGTTACAAAATTCCGAGCCACTAGTTTCCAGAGCACTACCTCAATCTGCATTCGAGCTCTATCTTGAAAGATCGCACAGAAAATATGATTAAAATCGCAAAGGTCTACGCAATGAACTCATCTCCTTGGCGATTAATGTGAGAAATTTTCATTCTTCCAGATCGTCCTCAAAGTCAAAGCACGCTTTTAGTAGGGCGTCAAAAACGCGGGATTTGATCGCAAAAGTACTCTGTCTGCTGTGTTTGAAGGATGAAAGTGAGTCTAGCGCCGTTTCTATGCTCCTAAAAAAGGATATTCGAAACCGTTATGATATTGAACATCGTAGAAAACAGAGGTAAAGAAACGGGGCGATACATACTCTATATGATATGATATACTTATATTATATGATACATGAATTGGCAAATTTTGCTCTTCTTTTTTTTTTGTTTTTTTCGAAAATGCGCTGTTTGGAACAGCATAAATTTTTCTCCCAAAAATTGCGAAAATTGCGTGCTCACTTCAAATGACACTGAAGAAATATGAAGGTCAACTGAAGATGGTTTCCTAGCGCACTAGAAGCAGATTCACTGAACTTCGTGATGATTCCGAAGTTTTCTCCCTCACTACCGACTTCCATTTTTATGATGGTTCCTTATGATTAGCGCTAAAAACCACCAATGTAAACGGTGTTGTGTAAAGTGACGCGCATGTTATCCTGACAGCACCTTGCAGCTTCTCTCCCGGAATCCTCCGAGCGGCCCCTCGGGGGACTCAGATGAACTGTTTTGAGCTCCATACAAATTTGTGCTGCTTTACCTCAAAGTTCCTAGAGACATACCTTTGAAAAGGCTTTCCAAGCTCTTCCTAACGATTACTTGAATGTGCAGCAATCTTTCAAGATTTCGAATGAGAAAGGTAGTTTATTTGAAAAAGTGGAATAAATGGCCTAGTTTTTGAGGAAAAAAACATATTTCGTCGCACAGTTTCTGGAAAATGAGGAAAATTGGGGAGGATTGCATACATATGGATAGAGCGTAAAAAACTCTATCATATGCTGATTGTCAAAGATGGGCTTATTCGTTCACCTGATGAGAAAATAACGTTTTCTAATTCAAGCTAACTCCTTTGTTAAAGAGCATGGTGACAGTTCCCTTACCCACTGCGGCACACATATTTTTGTTAGTCTCACTCGTTTTACTGCGGTATGCTGCTCAAGACTCGGCTTTAGGTGACTAGCTTCAATTGCGAGCACTCAAAAATAAAGCTATGGGCAGTACCCATTCATAGAGCACGATGAGAAGTCTTGTTATGTACTAAGATCTGCCAAACCTTCGACATTCAATTAAATTGTTTGAAAAAGCTGAAACTGCATTTATTGTCTAAAATCCCATTACCTTCTGATCACCCTAATATAGGTGTGCTGAAAAATAATTTTGTTTTGGCATGAAAATCCTCATACTGTTTTAGTTGTTCTTCAATCATGATTTTTTTGTGGATAAGTAAATAGTTCAACTTCTTCTATCACATGTCACCTACAGAATCTTAAATCATCAGTAAGGGACAGTTATGCTCCAACATGGCTAAAATTCCAAAAGTTCAAATCTGCAACTTTCGAAGCTTCGTTTTTATGCTCTAATGGATATAGAAAACAGCAATTTAAAATTCGGATACAGAAAAGTATTCCCTACTGCAACTATAAAAATTGTGTTCTGCCGATTCAAAATTCTTTGACCAACAAACCGTATTTACTCATATTTGCGCACAATGAAATAATCGGAATTTCTCTCTTCTTTTGAGGAATTCTTTCATTACAAAATAAATTCTAATCAACAATTTCAATCTTAATTCTCATTAAAGTGTTTTTTTCCAGCGGTACCGAATACTAGACAAAAAATTGTCTGCAGCATCTGTAGGAGCCGCAAAACCGACCGAAATTATTTATAAGCCAACTTTTTTAAGCCAGCCATATTTTTCCGATTCGTCAATGGGAGTTTCTGATACACTGATTATAGAGACCTAATGCTCCATACTTGAATGGGCGTAAACAGCACAAGCTTGTCAATCATCTTTCAACAATACATCTAACATGAGGTCATAGTTGTGGATTGCTCTTTTGGCATTGTTTATCATCTCAAAATCAGACAGACGGACGCTAGCTTAGATAGGGAAATTGGCGTTTTGAGCTGTTTCTATAGCAAAAAGTCAAATTTGAAGCATTAATAAAGTTTGCAATAGATGATCCAATAAAAACATACCTTTTCAGCATAATCCAAAGCCTGCAGAACTTTCTGCTTCTTCATTTCTGAAGACTTTGTAAGCTGCTTCCATTGCCAGTAATGCGCAAGGCAAAGAAAACTAATGTGCAGTATGGATAGTCCTAAAAGAGGTATCGACAGTCGATTTTCGCTGAAAATATACATAATTATGGAATGAGATAGAAATTTTGTAAAGCACCATATCTATCGCTATGCACTCACATCGTCACAGCTCCCAGTACCAGAAACATCGCAGAAATCATCGCGATGATTAGTATATTACGGCATAAAATTCGAAAAGGTGAGCATGAGTACTTGCGAGAAGTTCTTAAATATATATATTTTGTAAAAAAACAATCAGTCAAATTCGTACTCAGCACTGCTCCATTCTGCAACCGCTGTTCTACCAAGTTTCACCAAGCGATTCAGCGACTCTTCTGTAGAGAGTCCCTTGCAGGAGGATAAATAACTTTCATTTTCCATGAAATGTCTGAAAATACTCAATCATGGATTTACAGGGGCCGTAAGAAATTAAATTTTTTTCTTCAACGAGTGCATGAAGGGATTGAGATGATCGAACAGTTACCTTAAAATTTAGCATTTAAGCCTCTTTTTGTCCCAGATAAGCGCTCTTCACTTGAGTTCACCCCACAGATCGTTTTTTTTTCATAACAACCATCCTAGAAACATGTCGGTCAAGTCCGAGGTGGTCATATCTGTATCGGGCTTATCTTTAGACGGATTTATCTGCGCGGAGGCCCTGGATGCCAGATTTTGGAGTGACTGAAGTTTGCTATTTTTCCCTTTATAAATCACAACAGCGGTCCAAACTATTCCCCCTCTCAGAAAAATCAGAGGCTTGTTGCTGACTTGGAGCTCATATCAAAACAGAATGCTTGGCGGTAATCGAGCGTGGCTGAGGTTAGAAATCAGCCTGCGAATTAGGAGAGTGGCACTTTCTTCAGCAGCGCCATTACGAGGTAACGCAGTATCCAGACAATTCTATTTATATACAGCAGTGCTTACGTGGAAACTGATTGGGAAGTCCTACATAAGCCACTGAACAGATTGCAGCCATATAATTCATCCGCGGCGAGAAATGCTTTCTCAAAACTGATTTTCGGCAAAGCAACGGCTTACGGGCCTACGTTCTCTAATGCCGAAATAGAGGGTCTGTCATTCTATACTCTACCGTACTTAGCATGACGGGAGTCCGGTCGCTAGGGTTTCGCGGTCACGCTCATGGCCTGCTTCTCTGCTCTCTCTTCAATCCTTGTGCTCTCCGACAGCGCGCATATGCAGCGCAGACTGCTAGCGCTGCGAGCGCGCAAATTTACGCCGATGGTTCAGCTTGATCCCGATTGGAGCAGACTCTACATAGCAACATTCCAAGATTAATCAAAAGATACTCGAGAACGCTTTGCACATATTGTTTAACAAGCCCGAACATGTTCTCTCATGGTTTATAGGTTGCGTCCTGACAAGGTTGGGAGTTTTGAAAATTTATTGTCATGCGAAAATGGACCCGCTCGGACAAGCCATCGCCCATGCGAGCTCATAACTTTGCTACCCTTGGTCTGCGTCTCACAGCTGCCACGTGGCTACCGGTTGGTGACGTGCGACAACACGTTTGCAACATGCGACAACATGTTGCAGAACATTTTGGCTGTCAGCCCCAGTGCCAACATGTTGCTCTATATTGCCGTAACGTATTAGCCACGCGTGTCGCAGGTCAGAAACGCAGACCAAGGTAGCAGCAACTATGGAAGGACGATAGCGCATAAATCCAGGCAATGTGCTAAGAAACAACTTTTTTCCCGGATCCCGCCTGAGGTAGTAAATCATCGAATGCGTTAAAGCACAAGTATGAACTATGAACCTGTTAACGTGATGTTCGCGAAGCGTTCTCGTACGACCTAGTCTCAGAAAGAATGATAAATGCGGCTACAGTCGATTCATTTCATATGATCATGTGTGTCACTGCACACAATGTTCACCTTTGTTCCCATCCAGGATTTTTGGAGGACACAACCCTTCAGTTGAGTGTTTTGATATGTTCCCAATGTTTTCCTTCCTTCTTAAATAGTCACCTCAAAGTGACGTAGGAGATAAGAAATGTCCAAAATCTTGCGTGTTTGCGACATTTTCAGGATGGGGACGCCAAAGTTGGACGGTGTGTGCAGTGACACACATGATCATTAAAATGAATCGACTGTACATAGATACCAAGGAAGTCTCCTACCGAGCGGAATATGTACTGTACCGCAATCATTGTGCGCAAGAATTTAGCGAATTGAGATTTTGAATCAGGCTATGGCTTTGAATTGTCAAAGGTTTTCGTTTAACGACTTATCACCACTCAAAAGTCTTCTGTATACCACACGTAGAATTTTACTTCATAAGATGTTCAAATAAAAAAAGGTAGGAATGAACTCCGCTACAACCTTAGCTTTCAGTTGACAATGTTGGCCATATCAAATAACGAGTCACAAGATATGAACTGACGTAAAGAATCTGGGTTTTCATACAAGAAAATGAGACATAAAAATCAACAATGAGGAAGAGTAACCAAAGGCGACAACATACAAAAGCGTCATAGTTTGTTCCCACATAACGTCAGCTCAAAGTACTGGCGCACGGCAAGTAAATGCAAATATTTCCACTACCCTGTCCAACTTCATGGATTGTTTAGACGAGAATAGATCAGGTCAGCCTCAATCTCGTAAATGTTTTTGTCATTATGACGTGCAAATCATGCGATATAGCGAACTTTGATTTTGTGTCGCCTGGGGATTTCTTTTTGTACAAGCGCAATCGATTTTAAAGCAGCCAGTGGGCGACTCGCACACGGAAGTTTTTTCCAGACATTAGTAGAGAAGTTTTTCTTCACAAAATCAAAAATCATTCTGACAAGATGATAGGGAACAGAACAGCAGATGAAATCACATACGTGACATTCGTTCACGTTCAGAATTTTGGCTGAGAGAACCTGTCGCCTCATCTTTTCGAATTTTATTTCACCGTTTGCGAGAAAGACGTCCTGCGGCTATCAGCTGGACGAGTTTAACGCTTCTCCTTCTTTTATCTCGTCCAACTTGAGCGAAATCAGTCACGCTTTCATGTGGTCTTCTCACTCTTCGGTGCAAGATACTTTTAGTTTACTTCCCATTAGGATGAGATATTTTTGCTGAATGAATGCATGTTTTCTTTTCAGGTGCATCCTTTTGGATATGCGACGCTCTTGAATTCATCTATAGTCATCCAGAGTGAAGATGTTTCCAGCACGTTCTTTCCTACAAGCACTTTGCACTTCCTCGCGGAGACCTACTTCGGTATGTATCAATGAGTTATTGTTCAAGTTTTTTCTTTTTTTTTCTCTAGTCATTATTTATTCGTTTGTTATATTATCATGATGGTATCTTTTCAAATATATCAAGTAATTACGCGTTCTTTATTCTCGCCCGATCAATATCGAGAACCGCTTGTGACTTCATCGGCCTTGGTTACGTCACCGAGTCTTGTAACATTGAAAAACAACTGTCTGACGTGAGCTCGAAAACCGTGCTTTTGAGCCGAATTGAATTTTGGTGTCAGTTTCGAATGAGCAAGCACTTGGATAAGTTTATCATAAACGGTACTATCCTAAAGATTGACTTATTTACTTCACGAGATGCCACATGACGTCCGCTATCTCTCCCACCTCCCCTTCCTTAAAAAAAAGAAAAGAAAAAATGTGTCTGAACTTTGGTGAGCGTCTGATATCTAAGAACTTGAATCTTGAACTTTATGAATAGAGAGCGCCTGATGACGTATATTCGCAGCGGGACTTTCAGGATGATCTTGATAGGTCGTAACATAACATTTCATGTAAACAGTAAAAAATATTCTTTTTTTCGTTTTCGTCCATTCCAAAAATCATGCACCGTAAACCCGTATTTGGAGCTTACTGTTCAAAAAGATCTTTTCTTACGCATAGAGATCCGATCTTTGTGGCAGTCCTCAGTTCTTGATACTTTTATCGTTTTGAAAATGGCTCAAACATTGCCCCTTGCAATCATCACTCGAGCATGACTGAATGAAGCGGTACCCCTTCTGAGAATGGGTGCTTTTGCATGAAAGATGTTGAACAGCTGTTAGGGATCGTTCAGACCGCGCCGGTATCCGTTCGAATGTGCCCGAACCCGCCTAAGTACATCCGAATCCGCCCAAAGCCGCCAAATACGTCCGAATCCGCCCAGATACGTCAACCCGCCTGAACACCAGAACTGCCAAAGCGCCAGATATGCGTCGAGCTACATGTGACTAAGATAAATATATGCACTAGCGCGAAATATTCCACGCGTGCTCCAATATGCCAATTTGCACGCATATCTGCTGCGCTTTGGCAGTTCCGGCGTTCAGGCGGGTTTGGGCGTATTCGGACGTACTTGGGCGACGTACTTAGGCGGATTCGGACGTATGCGGGCGGATTTGGACGGTACCGGCGCGGTCTGAACGTCCCTTACCTGACCTGAGCCCAGCGTAGTACTTGCTTCACTTTTTTCTATGGCTTGAGTAGTATGTGCGTACAGACAACTTTTGAGTTTTTTTTTTCTTGTTCGCAGCGGAATCATATGTCCTCATCTTATGTGCCTTGAATACTCAATTGAATTGCTATCAAATGGAAAAGTTAGAGAAGATAGTGAATAGTCAGCATTACAGATCCGGCAGTTATCTGCTATTGCGAGAACACTTGAAGTGCGAATTCCAAAAAAGTTCCTGAAAAGTAACGTAAGTCTTCAACCTTTTTAACTGCATTGCACAACGTCAAGTTTCTAGAAAGGTATTTTAACCGTCAGTACACGGACATGCTTTCATCCTGGTGCGAGTACGTTAGTGCCTATGCAGGTACTTTTTATTAGCGGTTACTATTATGCTCCATTTCTCAGGAATAGTTAGCTTATTATTGTTTCAAAGTGATCAGCGTGAAGGCATACAACATTTTTTGAGGCGCGTACCGAGCTCAGCGGGTGGCAGGTTATCCGACATTTAGTTCATTTTGTATGGCCAAAAGGAAACAGAGCTATCAAGAGGCGAGTGCTGGTCGCACTGTGTCTCCTAATTGGCGCCAAAGTAGGTCTTTATTTTCGTGCACCTCTCCTCTTCTATAATATAACTTCAGCTTGCAAACGTTTCCGTGCCGTTCCTATACCGTGATGCTGTCAACTTTTACAACGATAAGGCTCCTACTTTCTTGCGACTCACATTTGACACGGTGCCCAATGCCATTCTTACAACTGGAGTTTGCATCATTATAGCTTGTAAGCCGTTTCCTCCACCTTTCCGTTTTCCTATTCTATTTTTACTTCATCATCTTACAGATGGTGTGACAAGAGCGGCATCTTCTTTAATGAACGAGTTGAGAAATGCAGTTTTTGCTAAGGTGGCACAAAACTCAGTAAGACAAATAGCGAGAAATATTTTCCTTCATCTACATAATCTCGACTTATCTTTCCACTTGAACCGTCAGACTGGTGCTCTTTCCAAGGCAATAGGTATGATTACTTTCGCTGTCGCTAAGTTCTATAGGGCATTTGAAAAATCGTGACGATGGTGCGATCGCGCGCGACACGCAAGCACCTTCTGATAACCGCATTTTCTTGGTCTTCATCTCTTTTCGAACGAATCTTCTGCTTATGTATGGTAGTTATTTGCACTCCGGATGTGACTAAGCTGAGCGTTGAGGTGATGCCTTTTTCTATAAGCGGTTTATGCTCCTGTGGACCCAAAGACCGCAGTCAAATTCGTCGTCACGATTTTATAAATGACCTATGCTCATAAAGACATGTGGTGCTACCCAACTCACTTGTGTATATACAGTACACGCTACATATTGCCTTATCCTGTTGGGTAGCCATCTAGCCACTGGTTGTTCGGAGAGTTCATACTAACGTTTTGACTGTCTTCAGATCGTGGTACAAGAGGTATGAGTTTTGTTTTGGCGTCGCTGGTGTTCAACGTGATCCCTACCGCGGTAGAAATTTCAATGGTGAGTTAACATTTGATATGTGTAATTTCTCCATTACCGCTTCAATTTTGAGGTATCTGCTATCTTCTGCGGTTCTCTCGGTCCTGAATTTGCTTATATGACTTTGGGAAGTGTAGGAATGTATGCAACGGCTACACTGGCTATCACTCAGTTAGTTTTCAATTCCTAGCTTTTCGTTTACTCGTTATACTTCATGTCTTTAGGTGGCGAACGAAATTCCGCCATGAAATGAATCAAGCTGACAATGATGCCGGTAATAAAGCAGTGGATTCACTTATTAATTATGAAACAGTCAAGGTAATCGTGCTCCTCTTTTGGAAGAGTCTGTGCCGCAAAAGTAAACTAGGTAGTGAATTTTTTCAGTATTTCAACAATGAGGAGTTCGAAGCGGATCGATATGATTACTATTTGCAAAAGTTCGAGCGTGCGTCACTGAAAACGACTTCATCGCTAGCTTTATTGAACTTTACTCAGAATGCTATATTCTCTGCTGGTCTGATTGGTGTCATGTATTTGGCGGCACATAAAATTGCCGCTGGTTAGTTTATCATCCTTTCAGTTTCTTGCTATCCCTCTCATATATGTACATTTAGGTGAAGCCACTGTTGGTGATCTGGTTCTTGCGAACACGTTGCTTTTCCAGCTCTCCATACCACTCAACTTTTTAGGTACTCGATTACTAGTTTGCTTGTATTTGCTGCAATTTTGGCATACTGAGCGACTATCTTTTCCAGGTTCTGTTTATCGAGAAGTTCGCCAAGGATTGGTTGATATGAACACCATGTTCTCGCTTCTACATTTGAAAGCGAAGATAGTTGAAAAGCCAAATGCAAAGGATCTTGTTGTTAGCGGAAATGACATCAATATCAAAGTAGGACCTTCCTTTCTGCTTTACTTGCTTCTCTGTCATGAAGAAAACTTACAGATAGAAAATGTGCATTTCGGTTATTTACCACAGAAACCTATTCTTAATGGTTTGACCATGGAAATACCGGCTGGCAAAAAAGTGGCTGTTGTTGGAGGGTCAGGTTCGGGGTAAGCCGAATCCTGATTTATTTCTTTCTTGGCATTTCCTCCTGCGATGCTACAGGAAGTCAACGCTCGTTCGTTTGCTCTATCGATTGTACGATGCTGACAGCGGTAATATCATCATCAATGGAATTGATATTCACGACCTCAAGCTCCTCTCACTGAGGAAAATAATATCAGTCGTGCCTCAGGTAAACAGTTTCTTCTTGTATCAATAAGGTACATATGTCTACGTGTAAATATGTTTTCCTTTGTGCGAAGTGTGTAAAGTGTCATAAGACTTGAAGTCGGAATATTTAGAGAGCCATTTAATTGATGTCATAAGTAGAGGGATCAAGATTCACGTGCACGCGCTCTGCCACCTATTTTCTAAAGATAACTGGCTGGCGTTGGGTAACGAGCAATGCTCTTTGTCGTAGGACACTTTTTGAGGACATTTCTACCCGAAATACGCCCTGCATTGTCGAAAGTGATGAAAAAATGTTGAAAATGAGTATTCGCTCATGATCCCTACAGATTGTTTTTACCTTAATATGAAATTATGAACACGATTTAGCAAACAATATCTGGTATAGGGTATGACTCAGAGAATCGGTAATGAATCAGTTGATCTGTTCCAAGACATTACACTACCTTACCTGCGCCTTACAGGATTCTGTGCTGTTCCATGATACAATCTACTATAATCTCGCATATGGCAATCCTCATGCTAGCCGCGAAGAAGTCATAGAAGCGTCCAGGCTGGCAGATCTCCACGACTCGGTGGAGCGGATGCCAGAGGTATGAGTCTTGGTATATGCTTTATTCTTGAATATTTTTATGGAACTCAGGGATACGACACTCTTGTTGGTGAACGTGGACTGAAGTTATCAGGCGGAGAAAAACAACGCGTCGCCATCGCTCGTGCTATATTAAAGGTGATAATCATCCGTTGATTGAGTTTGAGCTTGTTATAAATCATTTTTAGGATGCACCTCTAATTGTCTATGATGAAGCGACCTCTTCACTGGATGCAATAACGGAGGCAAACATAATGCGCGCGTTAAAGGAAGCAGTGCAGCAAAGGTCAGATCAGTCTAAAATGCGTGAGTTTCGTTTTTAATTGGGTTTTTTTCAGAACATCCCTTTTCATTGCTCATCGTTTGGCAACGATTGTTGACGCGGACATTATATATGTTTTGGACAAAGGTCGTGTAGCAGAATGTGGTCCACATTCTGAATTGATTCTCAAAGGTGGACTTTATGCCCAACTTTGGAACAGTCAAAACCGCCTTGGAGTTGTGCCGGTAACAAGTTTTAGATGAACTTCCACTCCTTTTTTATGCATGAATTTTGTAGCCGAAGGAAGTGAAGAAATACACACCAGAGCAAGCAATGTTGGATTTGGAGGATCCTGACAAATGCTGTGGTAACTCGAGCTGCAATCGATGAGAAATGTTGGATTGAAAGACAGAAACGCGTTAGAAGAGCTAGCTGTTTGTTATTGTTACTTTGTCAGGGGTTGAGAGATCATCACTTAGTCCACGTTGTTATCACATAGTCAAGTTTAGCCTTTTTTGTGGCAGTGTATCTTGCCACCATTCATGTGTAGAGATTCCCTCTTAATAGAGGATGTTTGCCTAATAATTTTCACGCTTCTTCGCTGTTACAGATAGGTCACCGAGTGATTTAGGAAGTATGTGTGATACATAGATTTCTATGCTCATAAACTTTGGAAACCTTTCAATGTTCCAGTGTATATCTGTTGTAAAACAGTTCATATTTCTTACTATTGCCCTTGTCTCAACCATCTCATGGCTTTGTAGCAGAGGCTATGTCTGGTTGTCTGGACCAAATCAGCTGCAACTGCAGTTTCGATTTGGAAGGAAAGAGAAATGCTATAGCCTCCGTCGTAGCTGCTACTCTTTTTTCCGTTGCTTGGTGGCTCATGATCGACACGTCCGCTGTTTATGGAAGGGTAGGCTTTATGAATGTATCGTAATAATGCGGCAACTTTTAACCTAATGTTGTTGAATGTGTATCTCTATTTTGCATCGTTTAAGGCTGATTGGAATAATGTTTACTATATCATCACTGTGGGCAGCACCATAGCCATGTTCATGGTCAATGCTGTATCAAACAGTCAAGTTCGCGGGGAAAGCCTTCAAGAAGGCCTGCTAGGAACAAAAGGTAAGCCGCTTCATTTTTTCCGTCTTTACGTAAAATGTTATGCGACAGGATCACGTCTTTGGCTGATGGCGGCGTTCGTACTCTCTTTCGCTTCTCTGGTCGCAGCAACATGGATCCTATTCAGCGACTATGTCCTGTTGACGGGTGATCATCCTGTATGGCCTGGAGTGGCTCTCTTTCTCACAAATTTCATCATATTTGCTTCCTCATGTGTCTACAAATTCGGTCGTACTGAAGAAATGTGGGGTTAAGCTTAGAACCCACGACCATGTAAATTCAAATTGCGCTCTGTGTCGATGATGTTATATCTACGAGCATAAGTATCAATGTAAAAATCTCGCATGCAAATAAATTTCCTACCTTTCTGTAATCAAAAGAAGTGTGTGAAACACAACATTCTCAATTCCGATACCGTTAACTAATCACCTAAATACTGCAATCGTATATTTACGCTTGGATAAGAGTACCAGTAATTCTCAGTTTTGTTTTGTTTCACTGATGTCCTTCGGTTCCAGACGTAGCACAAGTTCCGCTTTTGAAAGCATCATATAATGGTGTGAGATATCCATGAATTTCCACAATAAACAGAAATTGATAGCATTTTACTATCACCTTCATGTCCCAGCTTCCCATTTGAGCGGACGTGGTTGCATCAAGGGACTTGATCTGTATCATCCTAACTTTGACAAGCTCAATCTACATCATCTTAATTTGGACAAACTCCATCTAGAGGAGACTCTCTGAATCTGACGCAGCCTGTCCAGCATGATTCCGTGCCACTTCGTCTCCAAACCAGAGTGATCCATCGTGGTCAACAGCAAGGCAAACACCTCCTGTAGCCTAACTCGTCAACGAAACTTGGGAGCATACCTCAAGCATAGCTTAGTACTCTCGTAACCAAATGTTCTCCGTTCGTGGTGAACAGGTATGCTTCCTCACATTTCAACCTCAAACTTGTTGATAGATACTGCATACTGCTATAGAAGCGGTCTGCGGTAGTATTACCTACCTCGGTCTGAGCAAGAATCTACTCTGTGGATAGAGAGACTGGGATGTTGGTGTTGACTCAATGTGATTTTGAGCATTCAACGTTATCAAATCAGATTGTTCATGTGTATCCTCTCTAATTTGTTGATTATTGAGTTTCCAATACTCTTATTCACACTTCTCACTGGTACAATATGCTTTGCATCAAAATTGATTAGTGAGTATTAACATGCAATATACAAGGTTAGAAGGCAGATTCGTTTCTCAACAAAGATCAGAGGGAAAATGTGACCGGACGAAGGATGACCCGCTACCCGTGTCATACACCGGTTGCTGAGATTGACAAGGCATCCGTATAACTCCAACTCCACCGCCAAGTCGGCTAAAAATCAGGTGTCAAAACCGTCAGAGAGCGCTTTGTCACCTACCGATAATTCATACAACCGTGATGCCTCCATTGATTGGCTTCTGGATCGAAAACTTCCGCAGTTTTGAGGTATGTGGTCCCATCAAAGCCACCCACTGCATACATGCGTTCATTGACGACGGCAAGACCGACCTTAAATGTTTATGTCTATCGCTATCGTCGGGAAGTTGCGAACTCATACCCCTGATCTTCTGTTATTCATTGCAACTACTGCTGTCCATTCATTCGCCACCGGGTTGTACTTTTCAGCAGAGCTCAATTCGCAAGAGTCATCTCTGCCACCAACTGCGTACAGGTGGCCATCGAATACAGCTGAACCTAAGTGCTTTCTACGCGTTGACATAGGTCTCACCACATCCCATTTGCCAACTCGTGGATCAAGTCTGAATTGATGTGAACAGCTATATAAAAAACCCCAATAGTGGGAGAATTTTCACCTCTCCACTGTATTCAGTGGTGATTGTCCATCCGAACCTCCTACAGCATATAAGCACCCGTTCAATACCGACACAGATACTCCTAGCCGACGAGTTCCCATAGGCGCCACGCAAGTCCACTCGTTTCGTCGGGCATCATAACTAAGAGAAACTTGCAGTTGTGTGTCTGAACTTTGAGAACAAAGTACCGTTCGACAACATCTAAGCAGTTAATGCCATCTTGGCCTCCTACAGCATATAAGAAACCGTCTAAAACAGCTACTCCAACAGATGTCCGACATGTTGATGTGGGTGCAACATCGCAAGACCACTGATTTGTAGCTGGATCAAATCTGAAAGCAATTTCTTTGAAGCAAAAAACCCATGTACATGTCCGTCTGTACCAAAGAGCATATACGCTCATCATCTCTGGTGAAAGCGGATTAGCACCAGTATTTGAACTCTATAGGGCGCGAACCCCCATGGCCAAACCAAAAAACAGCACTCCGACATAGAGCAAAGGTACATCATCTTTGTGCACATTTCTTGTCTATATTTGAGGAAAACGTTGGGACTCAAGATGTGACACAAATGCTGAGCGTGACGGTAGTTGTCCGACATATTCGCCCCGCACACTAAAGCGCAGATAAGAAATCAATCTCGCGCTCAAAGGTTGTGAAAGGAAGCCCGATCGTTCAACGCAACCTTGCAGAAGCTGTAATAGCGAACGCTGCCATTGGAAACGAAAAAACTTGCGGAAAGCAAGCAATGATAGATCAAACGCCATCACAGCCTATACTACAAGCAAAAGGAATAGAAATAACGCGTTGTAAAATTCACCGTTCTATACTATTCAAATATGTTTGCCCATCATGTCCTCCGACTGCGTATAGAAGGTTGTCCACTACAGCCACTCCAACACCACACCTGAACAATACATTTTAACTAAGAGTGGCAAAACAGGTTCAGCCTACCTCCGCTTACTCATTGGTGCAACACACTGCCAAACCGGTATTGCCTTACCCGGATCTAGGCGTTCTACCGAAGCTATGGCATCTCCGCTACACCAACCACCCACTAAATTTTCTTTGATAGCGTCTAAAAAATTCTCGAATAATCAACCCTAGCTCACTCACCTGCATACAGGACCTCTCCGAACTTGATAGGTTTCCTCGGACGAGTTCGAGGACCCTGCATATTTGGGCGTTCCAGTGGTAAAAGTAAATAATTCTAAAAAATAAAAATCTGTCAGAAACGCAAAAAGTATGCTGAGGATAAACAAACAGGCGCACAAGTCAAACCTTGGCCTCGTCAACAAGATCGCGACAAGCGGCATCTGCTTTGACCAAAGCATCCTCGCTGACTGTGCTAACGAGGAACTTCGGATGACATAGTGGAAGTCGGACATGTTCTAGTAGCTGCAAAAATCATATGAACGCAAAGAAAGCTTAAAGGCAGTGTCCGGGCAAGAACTCGATTTTGAGATTTTGTGCTTATACGGGCCTATTCGCCATGCTGAATCCGAAAATCCACATTGGAAAGCGCGAAAACGGCGAAAAAGGGCTCTAATATAGGAGGGAAATCAGCAGGTGGGCGGGGCTTTCCCCAGTGCGATTTCACGCTCCCAGCTTCTGGAGCGATTTTCTCGATTCCGCTAGCCGTTCTAACATCGATACCGGCCAAGTGCGAATGATTGACTTGAAACCGGGAGCGAGAAGGTCGCTCCGGAAGCCGGGAACGTGAATTCGCAGTGGGGAGGACCCCGCCCACCTGCTCATTTCCCTCCTGTGTTAAAGCCCTTTTTTGCCGTTTTCACGCTTTCAGTGTGCATTTTCGGATTCAGCGTAGCGAATAGGCCCAAGTAAGCACAAAATCTCAAAATCGTGTTTTTGCCCGGACACTGCCTTTAAAACGATGGTCACCTTAGACAAGTACTGCTTGCGAGATGGCAAATCGAACCTTACCCATTGCACTACTGCAGCAAATACCTGTAAGGAGATCCGGATGAAATATAAGGGAAAAGGGCAAAGTCTGAGTTACAAAGATACCTGTTCTTCTGATCGAACGTGAAGTTCTTCGCTAGAAATTAGATTGATCAACTGATTTACTGGAAGTAGATGAAACTCCTCCGTTCCAATAACATCCTGCAGATAAGTTGACTTTAGAAGAAGAATAAAAGTAAAATCACAGTCAATAACGGGAGAAAGAAGTTTTATACTTTGAAAAAAAAAACTACTGCTTTAACTTCGGGTTCAAATAGTCGCTAATTAAGCAAGGCAAAATTCAAGGTGAAACATGGCCAGCGAGTACAGAACTGTCTCATGAGATATGAGTGAAGCTAATTTCATTAGCAGTGCATATAAAGTATTAGGTTGTCTCATAATTAATGGACGTATTTATTTGCTTGCTTTAACAAAGCAACCAGACTCAACCCATCAAAAGGTAAGGGGTACTGTTCGATAGAGCAAAGCAAGCTCTACAAGGTGACACTCATGTCTTTGCGCCATGCTCGATCCACGGAGAGTTCGAACTCAAAATCTAAAGATTTCCAAATGCCCAAAAAATCGAAAAAAATCAGATCTTCGTCCAAATAATTTCTACGGACCTCCCACTCGCTTACATCAATACTATCGATATCTGATATCCATATGTGCGATTGTCGTATTTTTTCCTTGACTAGAAACTGAGAAAACGACAATTTCCCTGATTTTCTCAAAGCAATGCTGAGCCGTTCTTGCATATGTGATTCTATACCACAAGCCTAGGTAAGTATAACTGTAGGTTTTCAGCCCATTCCAAGCGGTAGTTTTCGAAAAACAACGAATTCGGATTTTTTCGTTTCAGTTTCAGTGCTAAAATCGACATTTCTCGAAAAGTACCGCTCGAAATAGGCTGAAAACCTACAGTTATGCTTACCTATGCTTGTAGTATAGAACTACGTATGCAAAAACGGCTCAGCATTGCTTTGAGAAAATCAGGGAAATTTTCGTTTTCTCAGTTTCTAGTCAAGGAAAAAATACGACAATCGCACATATGGATATCAGATATCGATAGTATTGATGTAAGCGAGTGGGAGGTCCGTAGAAATTATTTGGACGAAGATCTGATTTTTTTCGATTTTTTGGGCATTTGGAAATCTTTAGATTTTGAGTTCGAACTCTCCGTGGATCGAGCATGGCGCAAAGACATGAGTGCCATCTTGTAGAGCTTGCTTTGCTCTATCGAACAGTACCCCTTACCTTTTGTTGGGTTGAGTCTGGTTGCTTTGTTAAAGCAAGCAAATAAAAACGTGCATTAATTATGAGACAACCTAATACTACAGCAAATTTCTACCAGACCAAATAATCGTGTCAAGTGCAAGTGAAAGAAGAGGATTGAAATATGGAAGACTTGTCTTACCTGAAAATTATGCAAAGTATACTTGTCGGCGCTTCGTAATAATTCTTGGCATGCATGAGTATCGGCGAACGCGCGAATACCAAGGCAATTTGAGGGATCCAACTGCTTTTTCAGAAATTCACAACAAACTTCCTGGAATAATTATTATCGTTTCTTAAAAGTAAAGGCCAAAAATGAAAACCTACCTGAACTTCATTCAACTGCAGTAAGCAAGCAGCTGGAAGAATGTTTTGAACGTTAACATCGGTGATTTTTATTTCCCCGGAGTAGCAGAAATTCACTAACGCGTCTAATGTACCTGCGTCCATATCAACCATTTCGATTTCTTCTAAATCAGACGAAAGTGGATACAGACACAAACAAGCAAAAAAACTTACGCAATCTACTCTCGGCCATTTCTCCTGTGAACATTGCTTTGAAGTAATTGGAGCATGCAGTCAACACAAGTCTATGAGCATTGATGCGAGTTCCCTTAATATGCTTGTTCAGTCCATCAAAACCTGATAGTGTCGTGTTAGATATCAATATGTCCAATGAATCTAGAATCCGAATTACAAATCTCTCCCTCTGTATAACAAAAAGAATCAGGTGCGTTTGACACGCCAAGATATGGAGGTACCCTCGATATCATCCCATATGTCTTCCCTCAACATGACGTGGATTACGTGGCTTGGTGAGGCGCCGCCTCGCCTCGGGCTTGCGCCACGTTGCGTGCGCATCTTCGACGTGATGTGGCAACAAGAAGAACGTGGAAAAGCCTGCGCCACGTTGTGTTGAGCGCCACGTCGCGCCAAATGATGCGCTCGCAACGTGGCGCAAGCCCGAGGCGAGGCGGCGCCTCACCAAGCCACGTAATCCACGTCATGTTGAGGGAAGACATATGGGATGATATCGAGGGTATGTGCAATTCATCGCACGCACAGACTGGACGCTGCTACGTCCGACTATGACAGTTTGTGCGTGGAAGAGACAGCAGACGGCAAAAGAGATGAACAAGCGCTCGATCAGCGAGACGCCGACAAAGTCCGTGGTGAAGCTCTATCTTTGCGTACGATGACTCGCATATATATTCCTATTATAGAATTTAAATTTGTAGGAGACTGAAGATCTTCAAAACTGCATAATCGCTTTGACCAGAATATATTTGCCTGTAGAAGAAATGTGTGTGGAGTGATCAATCCCAAGTTTTACGCTTTTTCTATGCACTGTTCTAACCGTTTAGCTTTGAATTGACTAGCTTGTGGAGCCGACGTCTATGGCTGAGGCCACACTTATTCAGTCAACCGGTTATCCCATTCGCTGTAGATCGGTTCAGTTTGACCAATAACGAATGCGTGAAGTGGATAACCGGATAAGTCTGGAGCCTACTTTACGGCTTCGTTATCTAATGTTTTCAGAATCAAAGAACGAAAAATTGCTCACAGTGGCAAGAATATGGCCAAAAGCAAGGAAAGACTGTGCTCTCAAAGGGAACGGCCATAGGTTCGCAGTGTTCGCGGTGTTTGTGGTGTTCGTGGTGTTCGCGGTGTTCGCGGTGTTCGTGGTTTCGCAGCGTTCGCGGTGTTCGCAATTGTCGGTGTTGTCGGTGTTGCGTAATGCACATTTTGTAGTTGAACTTCCACTTAATAAATTAATTTTGCATTGATTGTAAACACATTACCACCTTCGAGCAGCTTACACCAAGCAGCAACACCGCGAACACTGCGAACCTATGGCCGTTCCCAAAGGCACGCGCCAACTTGATCCGCTTGATCCACTTCGCTATTGGTCAATTCAGCGAACGAACCAATGGCGAACAGGATGAAGCGGATCAAGCGGATGAAGCGGATCAAGTATGTCGCGTACCAAACGCGCAATTGTAGATTAAATGATTACTTCCAGTCAAACAATACGAAACGATTTATAGCCCATTCTGATGGCTTATCACTTCAATCTTTTCAGTTGCCGTAAGGCCCCGGGCAGACTTCACGCGATTTGATCGTCGCGTTGGATCGCGACAAGACAACTGTTACAACATCATTCTATGCCAATCAACTTGCAATCGGTTGTGATACTTTTCCAACCCGAGATTTTTGAATGTAAAATGGAAATGAATGGAAATCACGGCGATTGAATCGCGACGAAATCGCGTGAAGTCTGTCCGGGGCTTAAGTCTACTTCGGAAAATACGGATTTAATCATAGCATTGCTTGCGACCGCTTGCGCTTCCCGCGCTAACTGTACGCCTATCAAAACCTTTGACCTAGATAAGAGTTATCCCTGGTACAGGTGGTTGATTGGAAGAAAATAACTTTATAACGTAAAGACTCTTACCTTTACGACAAGTGCAACATCACAAAGACGGGAGTCATCACGAAGTTCAGCGAGCTGCGATAGCAAAAGCCGGCTATGGGTAGTGCTCTGAATTTACGTTAGTATATATATGGAGAAACACAATAGATATAGTAACTCCACATAGAAATTCTGAACGAAAGTACTTTGTGGTACATCGGAGCGGTCATTGTGGCACATCCTGGGTACATCTGCGGGTTCTTGGCGTCCATAATTATGTCGCCGCCAGCGTCCATGTTGGAATCGTGAAAATTACTCGAAAGCTTGTGAAAACTAGGAGAAGTTAAACGGAACGCCGGCAGTATTTGCAAGCAGCGGGATGTAGAGCACAGCTGTGATTTACCGGCTACTGTAGCCACAAGGCGCCGCAGTGCCGGCGTTGCAACAAACTGCACGTCTTAATCTCATTCTGCAGGTGCATAAGTTGATTTGAGGCTTTTATGAAAGTTGACTCTCTAATTACCTCTTTTTCGTGATTCTCACCCCTGACCTTGTTGAACAGCTGAATTTTTAGGTGATTTTACCGCTGAGACATGGACTCTCCAGCATGGATGTTCACCAAAGCTTTGTCACATCGTCAGAAAGTCTGTCGACTCTACAGAAGAGCTTTAAGAGAAGTAGACAACTGGTATGGTGGTGACAAGTGAGTTTGTCTTTCCTCGGCGTTATTACATAGCAGGCAACACAAAATCTCAGGAAACTAAAGGTTTGAGCACGTATACAGTAGGCGACTGCTAACCACCAAAGTATAAGCTCTTTTGATCCTTAACACATTTCGGACCGATGCTGCACATGGTGCAGCACGCGTCTTTCAAGGACCCATCTTAGTGTTTGCAGGAGGTTTTTTTTCCAAGGTTATCAAGTCAAAGGCCTAAGCTCCTCCTTTTCAAGTGACTCTGTAAGGCTGTGCCGCCGATATTTGTTTAGAAGATATGAGGACAATTCGAACAACAGTTGCGACGAAGTGCGGCAACGCGAACGACGCGTGCGACGTCGCAACTTTTCTTAGCTTTGAATACAAAGAGAAAAACCGTAGTTCCAATAATGACGTGTATCGTGTACAACATAGATACAATTAGAAACTGAGTTCTTGTCCCTATCTTTCAGGAAAGCATAGAAGCCCTTCTCAGGCGACAAAATTCAAACACTTCGAATTCACTCAGAACTTTGGGTATGAATCTTATCTGACATGCTGATTACAGATGTAGCACACAGTATACGAATTAAGGTCCCTTTGTTGGCTAGCGGCTGAAAGTACCTCTTTTTCGCCGCGCGCGATTTCGCGATCCGAAACGTGTTAAAGTATTCTTTTGAAGTACGATAAGTAAACGGTAAAAGACAGCGCTTCGAAATTTTTTAATGTTTTGCATGGGCGGGGGGAGACGGTCAAGTGGCGCGCTCTCCGGCTGTCACCTACCCAAAACTTCAATTTAGGGCTATGCGAGTGTTCGAAAAGTACCAGGAGTGGTAGTAATTTCGTCGAAACCAACAAATGATGTGATAGTCCAATCATGGTTACATCGTGGTAAGCATGATCATCTTTTCACGGCCACTCAGTTCAATCGGTCATAAAAAATCATGAAACAAGCAAGTAACTATCGGAAAACCATAGTTGTTTCATGCTTGTTTCATTCTAAACCAAACTATGAATTAATCAGCAGCTAAACATCATTGTTTCCTTATCAGGTAGAGTAATGAAAACAGCACTTCATTTCATGAGACGCAGACGTGAAACCATCATATCATAGTTTAACCCTTTCGGACCTGGTGGTGGCAATTGCCACCATCAATTCAGAGATCTACTGTACTGGCGCAAGAACATCATTTCACTACTCATTGCTCTCAAACGCTTCATAAAGCCTTTGCCTTCCAAATGTAGCTTCGAGACCGGGTGTTCATTTGCTTCTCTGTCAATAGTATGTACATTTCTGCAAACGAGTGGATTTCAACCAATCAATAATTTGCGCCGGCTTGGGCACCGTTTCAGTATCCCGTTTATTAGCCAAAAAATATTCGTAATATTATCATAATGTTTTAGTACGATGCTGAGCAAATGTAACTGTTAACTGTTTGCGGGTCCACATGTATCGCGGGAGATTTGAAAATCCAAAATAAACGGAAAACCAAAAAATTGAAAAATCAAAAAGAAATAGTTCATAAGGTTAAGCAGACTCCAAACTCCGCTATAATCATGACTTATAATAAGCGGCTTAATCTGAAGTTGTGTGGAGTTTGTCCGTTACGAAATTACAGTGAGGAATGATTTACGATACTAAACGTCATGTGAGGTTAAGATAGCGAGTATGGTTCATTTTTAACTACGGCTCGCTTTGCAATAAACCGAACAATGATTTGAGAGACAAGCTCTCAGAAAGTGAGTTTAGCACGGTTCACGATGCCAGTGCGAACCTCTGCGAAGCAGAGGTGAAGCACTGGTGTTATTCATATGGTACCAAGTAAAAAACAATAGGAGAGAGGCTTCTCGGCTCACTCGCAAAAACTCAGGTCCGAAAGGGTTAAAATGAAAAAGTACCCTCGACCACTTTTTCGTTTAAAACAATGATGTGTTGGTTTTGCAAGTTAAGAAGAGTGAGGGAGATCATTCTGCAACTTACTATGAGAAAGCTTACTTGTTTACGGCTTAGATAAGGTTATAGGAAGGTGCAAGGCTGGAGACTGAACTGCAAGTTTGGTAAAGTGCAATGATTGCGGGCAAGCGTGAGAATGGTTGGAGTTTCGATCTCCTCCAATGACTTTGCTTTGCAAGATAGCATTTCGAGGTTTCCTGTTGGTTAATTCGTGGTTTCGTTGGGAAAATGATGTGAAGCTGCTGATTAGCTAGCGTCTTGAAAACCCAGTTAACATGATGGTTTCGACCAAATTACTACCACTCCAGATAAAGTGCATTAGCTTACTCTCCCTCTGAGGTTACCACTTGCCGAGTTTGGTGGTTTTTGCTGGTAAACGGAGCGAAATATCTACGAATTTGATCTTAGCTGCATTTTTAATGGTTTTTGAGCTTCAAAAGTGATATTTTGAATTGATTACAAGGTATTAAGATTGAACAATGCATGCAACTATCTAATATATCTCCTTCCAAATTTGAAATACTTTTGGAATCTTATAAAACGCTTATTATGCGCTACTCGGTGTCCATCTGGCAGTAAAAATCGCGCCTCTTGACATACACCCAAATTTTTCGAGCTAAAAGGATCGCGTCAGGAATGTTTTCCTTTAGTTTGGTTGGCCTATGATTATAAATTCAAAGAAGGGAAATTGGTGGCAGAAATGCTCCGAAAGGCCCTTTTCACAAAGCCAACATGATTTTAAAAGACTGAAGAGCAAGTTCTTTGTTTAAACGCTGTTCGGAATACAGGCCATTCATCGTACGTGAAGACTGCGGACATATCGGCGTCTCTCTAATCATGCACTCTTTCGTTTCTCTTACCATCTGGTGTCTCTCCCACGAACGGGTTATTTTGATCGGACACGACGCAATGGCGCCCAGTCCTTGCGTATTATGAATTGCCGACACAAAACGCGATCTGGCGAGCTAACGATGTACCGTACGAGCTCTCATCTTATACCTTGTCGGTGGATATCATCTATGGTTAGCATTCACTTGAGCTCATTATGCTAGGAGCTAGTAAATGCTGAGATTTACACCCCCTGACTGGGCTTATCCTACCTCATAAATAGGCCCTACTTGCAGAATCCATTACGTGTTCATGTGCATACAGCAATGAGTTTTTTCTAGCTTGGAGATGCGTTACCAGAAAGTTATTTTACGAGCAAGATTTGACGCGAACAAGGACGAAAAGGATATGCGGAAAAGCCAGTTCCTTCTGGCCGATGGCTGTCGGCAGCTGTGGGAAAAGAAGCACTGGAAACCATTCAACTGTAAATTAAGCATTATTCTATGAATAATTGTGATTTTGGATGTCGAAAAGCAGAGTTATACGCTTTGTTGGCGGCTCATCAGATTTATAATAAGATTCATAATATTTTATTTCAGACCCACTTGACCCCGGAGGCAGTAGTTACGATCGAGAGCGGGAATCACCTGACGTGGTAAGTTTCTGTTTCAGTTTGTTTTCTGGTTCTCCTTTTTAGTACTCAAATGTTTCCATAGCTCTTTTTCTAATACTTTATTGGTGCTATCAGCTGGAAGCTTGCTCCTCAATTTGTAGCGACTTCAAACCACCCGAAACACCTCAAATCTTATATTACCTAGAATGAAAACCGATAGAGCCGAGAGGGGCATAAAATTGGAATTTTTTTCGACTGTTCTCATCAGCTAGTCTTTGGCGAGGAGAGTTGCACAAAAGTGCTTCGCTCCTCGCTAAGAATATCACCTAGCAGCAATAATATAGTGATGATGGCCTATTTTATGGTTTCTACGTGTGCGAGGCGATTTGCAATTCTTAATAGTGTTTTTTGGATATAAGGGAGTATGCGGTGATCCTGGATTTTTCGCAAAAATTATTCATGACGATATGTTCATAGTTAATCAGATGTTGGCTGAGTGCATAGAACCTGTAGTTTCTCAAATATATTCGTAATTTACTTTCCTTCCAGATGTTGGATTCAGACCAGTGGACTCTGGCAGAACGCGAACAATTCCCTTACTACTTTAATAAGCGAGAACAGCGGAAGAAGGTAGGGTTGATTGCCGTCAATTTATGGTTAGCTCTCTATGATCAGAATACCCATTTCAATGAAAATGGAAATCTCTTGATTCTTAGCAGCTGGTAATAGCAGTCAAACCTTATGCCGTGCACATACGATCCATACATATCCTCAGGGCAGCTTGTCCAATTTTAGGAGCTCCTGAGCCACTGGTCCAAGATCGAAAAAGCATGGGATGATGAGATCGCTTCAATTCAGACGGAGATACCCAAGGAGAAATCCAATGTGAAGGATGTTTGACGTTTATGGTTAGGCTATACTGTTTGTGCCCATAGAATCACAGCTCTTTTGTCTATAGAAAATTAGTAAAGTAGTATAAAGCATACGTGCGATAGTGTGAGAATTTGTTCACCCCCCCCCTTCCACCCCAGACGAGACCACGGTGAACTCCTTCACCAAATGTCAGGAAAAATTCAGTCAGTAAAGTTATGCCTAATAAAATCGCCACAGCTATTGACCTTCTTGCCTGCTCTACGACCAAGAACTGCGTCAAGGAATTGTGGCTACCATTCCTTCATTTATGTCCAAGGATGGCTCTATGGACATTTTTTGAACGATATAGCAGTCTTCATCTGAGATTTTTGCAGGCTCAGCGCTCGGAGCAGTACGAGGTGCTTCATACTAATATGTGAAACAAATCAAGCTGAACTAGTTCATATCCTTCTCTCAAAGTTTTGTTTTATGCTTTATGATTCTATGAAAATATTAGGGGCAATATGACGAGTGCCGACTATTGAGATTATGGGAAGTTTATATATAAACTTCCCATAATCTCACGTTACGTATACGTGAAGAAATTGATATGGGTGAAGCATGGTTCTGGGAAGTGTGCCGATAGCGAGTATCGGGAGTCATTAACGATGAAGCAGAAGAAAGAGTGAGCCTTCCAGAAATAGCATGGAAGCTATTCAAACTAAAATTCTTGGTATCGGAAAGGAAGAAGAAGACTTATAAGTATTCATGAACTTTCAGGAGAAGGAAAAATCAAATCATCTGTAGGTGAACACCAACGTCAGCAAGGAAGGTGCCGTCAGGACAATGTTTTTCTCCGCCTTCAAAAAATGTGTAGTTTGCCTAGTGTTCTCTCATAAAAGTCCTGGTGAAAGGTGCAGTAAGTGAATTCTGGGTCCCCACGAGTTTTCAGGACAAAATGATTAATAGTTTCTTTAGGTGAACATCTTGTACGCCGCGATGGTCACCATTGAAACCGTCTTGTCTTCTGCTCTCAGAGGATATAATTTGCCTTGAGTCTGTTGAAAAAAGTATCTGGTGAAGGGTGTGGGTAGTGATTTCTGGATATTTACGAGTTTTTATAATACAAAGAAATTCATAACTTTTGTAGATGAACGTCTTGTATGCCTAGATGTTTACCATCGGAACCGTCTCATATCCTGCTTCCAGAAAATATATAGGTTACCTGGGGTCCGTTAAAAAAAGTGCCTGGTAAAGGGTGGGTTAGATTTTTATAGTGGGAGTTCTGAGGTGGAGACTTTTTTACTATTGCAAAAAGACGTTTACTCGAGAACTCCCATTATAAGAGTCTCACCCACCTTTCACCAGGCACTTTTTTCAACGGACCCCAAGCAAGCTATATTTGAAAGCGGGGGACATACGGTTCCGGGGGTACCATCTCGGCGTACATGATATAAATCTACAGAAGTTATGAATTTTTTATCCTACATCGTAAATACATCAGGTGCTTTTTTTCAACAGACTCAAGGCAAGTCACATGTTCTTTTTTGAAAGCGGAGGACAAGACAGTCCTTGAACACCACAATAGTGACCATTGTGGTGTACAAGATGTTCATTTACAGAAGTTATGGATTTTTCTTGTTTAAAAGTTTGTAAATATCCGGGAATCACTACCCACGCCCTTCTTTAAGCACTTTTTTGTAAGGACCCTAGACAAACTTTATATTTCATGAAAGCGAAAGAAAAGACAGTTCTGATAACAATTTCTTTGCTGACCAGGTCATCTACAGAAGTTATGAATGTTTTTCTTCTAACAATTCGTAAATGCTAAAAAATTGTCTAATCATCGCCGAAATAGATGTTCGCATACAAATCTTCTATGGTAATTTTAAAAACATACAGGGTTGCTCCAATCCTACTTCAGCCTTCACAGTTTAGAAAAAAGACAACCAATGATGGTAGAGAGTTGAAAGTGTAAACTTTGTTTAGGAAAAATGATGAGAAAACATCACTTCTCCCCTCCCCCAGTCGAAATTTCATAATTTCTCGATCAAGAAAAAACCCTTCACCCTGGAGAGGCTGCAACCACTGTGATCCACTTCACCCTGGAGAGTCATTCTCATCTTTTCGCATCTATGGTATGAAGTGTTACTTGATAATTCAAGCGGCAACAACAATCAAATGCACACTATCCACTGGAAGTTTTTCGTCATACTTTAGTACTGTAGCTGTACCAAAAGTTGCAGACTGAAGAATACAACCCTGCTCGGAAGGAAGCTTATGCCCTCGTTGTCAAATAAAAAGTCTGACTCTTGGTATATAGTGCGCATTTTCAGCTTTTCCGCAGTCGTTAACTTTTTCGCAAAATTTTGAGCTACAATTGACCGTTCCGTCGATGATATGGTTATAGGATTCTAATGTCTACCTTGAAGCTAATAAAACTGATTTCTCACGGCATATATGTGTTTAGATTTTCCTTGAATTAGGTCGTTCCGAAAGTTTCAAAAATTCATAACTTCTGACTTTTCCAACCGATTTGACTGCTTTTATTTTTCTATGAAGGAGAATGTCATGCTCTTTATAATGACATCTTAGCTGCTTGCTAATGTGATCATCTGTTGCATATATAGGATTGATAGAAGAAAATTATTTAAAATTCGAATTTTCTGTGTGGGCTCTTAAAAAATCGGAGTCTTGCAACAAAAATCGGAGCAGTCAGTATTATAGGTTCTTTCACCAGCTCTTTCTAACAGTGCAAAGTTTGCGCCGACTGAGCGTCTCTATGAAATCTATGATTTCCCTGAATAATGCCAAAATAAATCAAATTCGCCCTATTGTATTGCTTGCTCGAACATAACTTTTCATAGAGACGCTTAATCGGCGCAATTTTTGCACTGTTAAAAAGAGCTGGTGAAAGAACCTATAATACTGACTGCTCCGATTTTTGTTGCAAGTTTCCGATTTTTTATGATCCTACACGAAAAATCCAAATTTTGAGCGATTTTGGTTTTGAGCTTCTATCTCCTTCATTTGGACACGTTAACGAACAATTCAGGTACACGTGCAAAGAGCATGATTTTCTCTTAAGCAAAGTTTTGATCGTACAAATCCGTTCAGAATTTAAAGAGCTATGAATTCTCGAAAATCGTGCGCAAGAACTTTCGGAACGACCTAACAGTTCTAATAGATAGATGGAGTCCTGACGCGATACTGAAATACAATCTCCTTCTACAATCAATCCACGTAGGGGCTCTAGCAACTAATGATCGTAATTTCAAGGGGGAACAAGAAATGTTGTCATCATGTTCAAATAAAAAGATCCTCAATTTATCCTGGAACAAAGCAGAAGTCCAATTCCATCGCTGTCATTTTTGTTTGGCATATGCATCAAGAGGAATTAGGAGGCAAAAACTCACTGTAAGTTCTCATATTTGATTCTTCTGGAGGTAAATATTGTTGCAAGAGCGTAATCCACATTCCCTGACTACCGTAATATTGTTTGTGCTGGTTGTAGTCTAACAAGTTGCGATCGAATACAAAAACTTTTTGCATTGAGTTCTGCACAATTGTTTGGCTCACAGTGGTTGCAAAAAACCATTCGTCTGTCACATTGAATTTGTAGATTTGATGAAGACCAGGTTCTCAGCATTTTGGAACCAGATTGTTCTTTTCTACCATGAAACTGGCTCGATAAATAGGAAACGATGTGTGCTCAATGATCTCTACATTAAAGATGCGAGAAAACACTCGTATAATTTTATCAGAGGAGTCTGATTGCGTAACTGACCATAGCTCGGCGGTCTGTTCCGCGAAATTCTCCTAGCTGAAGAAGTTTCCAACGACTTTTACTTAGACTGTTGAATCACTCTATAAATAGTATACAACTAATAAATTAAAATAACAGTTTATGAGGACCTGAAATCTAATCCTCACGTAGTTTCGTGACACTGCCACTCACATAGAATGAGAGGTGGTTCCGAAAATAACTGCGCTTTTTTTCACTCAAGCGTCTAACAATTAATTTTCATTTCCGATTCGTAAAGGCTTCGTAATAAGATCATCATGATCCATCTTTTGAGTGCACATTAGACTGTACCCGAGACTTTCGAGATTGTTCATTTTCTCCGTAAAATCTGTGTAAAACCAAGACCTGCTTTGGAAAATTCGAAATTAATCTTCTCAAGAAATAATGGCTTGCATAGATTGGAGAAACAAATCGTTTTGTATTCTATAGAGTTTGCTGCTTCTATCTATCACTTGGATTTTTTGGGGAAGGCATTATAGACATCATGAAAAATAGCGAAACTTGGCCATGGTGAAAATCATGGGTTGTGATTTTTTAGTAATTCTCTAAGGGCTCGTTGGTTGCAGTGCAATGCAATCAAAACCTTTTGAAAGATGGAAGTTGTACCGAATGCGAGTAGAATCTCCAAAGAATCTTTCATCTGCAGGCTGTGGTCCTCGATTAAGAAAAGCGAAATTATTTTCGGAACGATTTGATACACAGGGTGTCCCAAAAGTTACATCTCTTCCCATTGTGTTTTTTCCGTCACTGAAGTACCATTCTGTAGAGGAGGACTCAACTTAGATTTACGGTATCGATCAAATCACCGATCGCTCTTCATTATTGTAGGATTACTGTAGGAACTTTGACAACGATTTTAGGTCATTGGAAGCCATATTCTGCCTTGGATCAAAACCAAACAAGCTAAAAACTCTTATATTATGGTAATGGAAGCCGCTAATTTCGAATATGAAATTTATACTTTACTGTGATGCTTCTTTGCAAAGTTATCCCAGGTAAAACGTAATAAACGAATTCCCAGTCTTTGTCAGAAATGTGATTACACCGTCAAAAAAAAAACTGAGAATACTCGTAAAAAGTTGTGTAGTAGAATCAGCGTGCGCTAAAACCCTAATACGTGATTTTTTTAGTTTCTTTTGAAAAAAGTTCGTCAGATGGCATATTTCACAATGGTTCCACGTGCTAGGAGTTCTTACCGTAATCCTACAGTAACGAAGAGCGACAGATGACTCGCTCGATACTGTAAATCTAAGTTGAAGCCTCCTCTACAGATACTTAAATGGAAGAAAAAGACACAATGGGAAGAGAGATATTAACGATTGAAAAGTGTGTACTTTTTGGGACACCCTGTATAAATCTTGCAGATAATCCAGGCGACACTTCTAGGCTGAATCACCTAAAAAGAAGTTGAGACGTTTTATCTGCTCTTCTAGCCCTCGTCTCGTCCTGCTACATTTCGTTCTCCCCTTGGCGTGCTGCTCCTACGACGAATAGCTTGTGATATGACCGCCTCTTCTCTGTACAAGAAACCGTACCGTATTAGTCTCTTTGATAAGATCATTGAAGATCCAACAAGAGATGATTTGGGAAAGTTGTGTAGTCGCATTATTTTCAGTAGTCTTGTTTACTACAAAGTTGGTTTTCATCTCATCCTGCGTGTGTGAAAGCTTGAGATCCTAAACGCTATGTGAATTTTTTTAGCTTGATTTAAGTGTTATTGAAGTGCGGTGCATCATATTACATTGAGACACAAATATCTTATGGAAGATCCTTTAATCGAGTATTTGTGGATATATTTCACTGTATAGTCAAATTTGTTAGTACTGTAGGAAACAAAACATAGCGAATATTTGAAGTTGTTGACAAAGAAGCAACAATGTTCACATAAAGCTCAAGAAAACTTTCGGTCCCACATAAACAGATTCCGAGTGCTACTGTTTTTGTTGTTGGCTGCCAGCACCACTTTCTTGTAGCAAGTTGCAAGAAATAAGAAAGAATGCTAACAATTTTGATAACTCCAGATGGTTCGTAAATTATACAGACTTGTGCAACTTTATTTTGATCAAATTCTTGTTTAGTGGGCTACGGTATTCGAAGAAGTCGTACTTCCTCTCGGTGTGTACTGTATGAATGCAAGTAAACCAGTGGCCTATACATTAACGAACCCTGAGGGTTAACCCTACCTTCAAGGGTAGTTTTACTCTCACGGTTCATTGGCCGTATTCATCGACGAACCTTTGAGAGTATTTACCTCGGAAGGCAATTAACTCGTATCCATCAATGAAGAGGGTAAATCTTAGCCTTGTGGGTAAATTTTACCCCAGAAAACGATTAACCGTATTCGCGAACGTGGATCATCAGTGTAAATTTAACTCTAGCATAGAGCAAGGTTAGATTACTCTGACACTTCGTGCAAAGTCAAGTGATCTCTCAACGCACTACTCACCCTGGCGATACTGTCTTAACAGTAAACACATGTTTATGCTTACTAATATCTCAAATTTTCTATGCCCTCTTTTCATATTTTTTTGTCTCATGTTATCATACGGTATTATATTGGGTCGCGTTGTTATGGTAAAAGGTTCAGTTTGAAATGAAGTACATGTCCAAGTAAGGGCTCTGATATGGCGAACATAAAGCTTGAGAGGTGAGATCACATGAGTTGTTGCCCTAGTGTAGCCCACACGATTTTTATGTACTTGAGAAAAACCATATTCAAACGTTCAGATTGTAATATTTTGGGCAGACAAAACAGCACCACCCATTTGGTGTGCGGCAAGAATCATAATATGGATGAAATTTAGAGTCAAATCATCACAAATAAATCTGTGGGAGTACTTAGGCACTGGCTAGGTTCAGCTCAGATCAGTTTCTCTTCAAGAAAGAGAGGCACCTGGTTTGCCTGAGGTGTCTTTGAGTTCTACAGGGTCAGCAACAATAATAAGTGATTTTCTTTGTCAGTCCATGAATGTCAGATTCATGGACATCAAAAAGGGCAGCCTCAGCATATCGTAATTCTACATAACCAACTCTTATTGGTAAAGAATTGAGCACATTCTGAGTATCTTACGAATTACGTATAAAAAGCATTGCCTTGATTATCCTCTTTGTGGGTCGTTTGATTGGGTCTTTGGTTGTAGCTTGCTGTGGGTATTTGCCGAAGCGAAGTATTCTTCAGAATGTTTTTCAAGGAATGCTGTTTTGGTCTTGCTCGGTATGACATTTGAGCAATGTAGGATTCTTGCTAACATTTTTTTCAAAAAATTCTTCTAAAGTGGCTCATAATGTATATTGAGTGTAGTTACCATGTGCGGTTACATTGATTATATATTTATTCTAGTCTGACAACAAGTACTTATCAACTGAAAAAAACAAAAAGAAAAAATAAGTGAATCAAACGCGTTTCTACCCATATATTGAGTGGTTCAACGACAGCGAGATACAGGTTGCCCTCGCGTTCAGCGCGAGTACACACACAAACCGATATGAAACGAAAGATTTCACGAGGAGAAATCACCTGTTCCTGGTCTAAGAATAAAGCTACATGGTAATGATCTGTCGAAACGACCATTGATATGATGGACTGATGCCTGGGATGGGAGTGAAAAGAATGGGAAGAGCAAAACTGCTAGGTGGGAAAGGGTGAAGTGATGGCGACGATTAGTTCCTTATCGAGCAACTCTCCAACATGCAACTCGCCCACTGTTCGCTCCTATTTGGTACCCCACCAGCGCTAGTGCAGCGGTAAAGGAGTGCTAGTAAGAGGTATCGTGTGAAGGTGGGGTCCTTCGTGGCCGCCATCATGATCACTAAAAAGTCAAAGATTAGATTTTCATCTTACCAAGGATGACTGAAGGTAATTATCAATCTGACAGAACGGTCGATGATTGGGCGCTGTTTCACCTCCACGAGCGAATGCCCGATCGGGCGATGTCAGCTTATGCACATCGGTTGATCGGGCAACAGCGAAAACTCAAAAAATTGTAATAAATCTTGGTCAGGCGCCATCGACCTATCGGGCGTTTCTTACGTGATTTTACAACAGCGCCCATCATCGCCCTATCATCGCCCGGTCAGAGAGGCTGACAAATAGCACCCCAGGAGTGCGACCGCTTACCCGAAAGCGAGTTGTAAACCAGCAACTACTCCGAACCCGATAAAGATTGCAAGCAATTGCTTCAGGCTGTTGTGTCCTTTGTCTTTTTCTTGAGCCAGTACCTGAACAGAATTCTCTCACATATAATTCTTAAACTCAATCGAAGGTCTAACTCTAAGTTTTGGATCTCTACGAGATGGGAGGTCTTCTGAGCCACTGTCCGAGCAGCAACTCATAGTATTCATCCTTGGCATAAATTTCGATTCTAAACTCCAACTCAACGACAAGAACTTACGTCTACCGTATTCGAAGACGCTGATTGGATGAACCAAGCAGCGTCCTCGAATAAGGTAGACGATAGGATCTCGGCAGTTGAGTCAAGTTTCTTGATCAAGAATGAATCATGTGGGCTACTGTTTGAAAGGGGCTTAACCTGTGCCTCCTTCTCACTTTCTACATAAGAAACCCTAGTTATCAGATTTGCTTTCATACTGCATCAAATTCCTTACCTCAAGGAAGGTGACATAGATAAATGTTCCGGCAGCAAGCGATTCCAGGATTAGAACAGCACCATCCTTCCACAGCTTGCTAATATTGGATAACTAGAACAAAAGATTTGCTTTTTAAGCTGCATATTCACATGCTACTTTAAGTTAATCCCTAGCTTATCTGAATGAGTAGTGTTCACTGCAAAGCAGCTCATACAAAGATTATACGATAATCACATAATAATTAAATTCACATAATCATTAATATTTTTTTTCATGGTGGTTGATGCTGAATTCTAATCTGAAGACTCATAGACTGTGATTATCATTCTGTATTCGTAAACCAGTACTTTTGAGTCAGACTTATCAAACATCAAGATCAAGCCGTTTTTTTGTGACTGTGCGTTTCAGTGAAGACGCCAATCGCTTCTTAAAGGTTCAAGAAGATAGCATTTCTTTCGTGATTTCGCAATACATCAAGAAGGTGTGCCAATTATTGATTTTGATGATTCTACAGTTCAAGTTCATTTTATCGATATGATTTTCACAATAGAGTACGATAGCTGTGCAGTTAGCATAATCGCTAATGCCTGTGAAAATTTATTACAGATATTTTTAAGAGATTTTCTCACATGCCTAACTAAAGCTGACATCCAATCTACTTGCTATCATCTCATTGTGGAATAGAATCACGGTTAACATGTTTTAGGAAATCAATAAATTGACCAAAAAAATCAATAGTGACTTTGAAAATTACGGATTAGTGAGCTGCAGCATGACAGAAAACTCATGCACAGGAGATATGTATTAAAAACCTATGAAAAGCCAGAAAGATCTAAAGGTCCAGAAAATCCTAGTGGTCTAGGATGATGAGCATATTATGAAAATCTTGCTTTGGCTCTTGTTACGGTATGCTAAGCTCAACTTTCGGCATCCCGAAGAGCCAAAGCTGCAGTTGCAGGCAGTACAAATGACTAATCTCTCGTCGTGTAATATTTCACTCCCAACTTGTAAAATGAGATTATAGAGTTTTTAAACTGATAAAATCTTGGCGAGAATTAGCTACATACATTGCAATTTTATGCAAGATTGAAGGATATGCTACCTGCAAAAGTGTGCCAAGCCCGGAACCCAAAGGAGTCATCAATGCGTAAACTAGAATGGTGGCCACCACAGCTTTCAACTGTAAATTAACTATTACACAATGAAGCAATGATCGTAACATCAACTCTACCTTATCGCTGTTTCCTTTTGATATTTGCAATCCAACGGAGAAGGCTTCAACGCCTTTGTGCAGAATCAGCGATACGAACAGTGTGACTATCCGAGCAGTGGTGCTCTAGAAGTAGAAAATTATTTTGAGTACTTCAACTTAAAGGAAGACTAGGGCTTTACCTGCACACCAAGGGCAAAACCTTCCAAAATGGAGTGAAATGACATGGCGACAGCGAAGGTGATCGACTTCAGCAGCGATCCCTCGTGCGGGTCTGCAACGGCGTAGTTCGCCGTCTCCTCCATTACCAGGCTGAATCTACACTCAAAAGTTGTACAAGCACTGTTCTTTGGCTCGGATGAACTCAGGAACTAGCTAGGTATATGCCACATATTTCTTCGCTCTCGCTTGATAGTTTTTTTTTGGAAATTTCATACGATTTACTATTTGCACTGTAAACTAATCAAAAAACTTAAAATGACAAAAACGCTTATTTATAAAATTTTCCTAAATAGATACTTGGCAAGACTTGCCATTTTGCAGTGGGTTTAGTCAATCACCAACGACATCTTGTTAAAAAGCGGGGAGTATAAAAAATAAGAAATAAGATTCTCTAGAACATTTTCAATTTTCAATCGTTGTCATTTTGACAATTTACGTAAAAGTATATGGTTTCTTCCGTCAAAATTTGCTCCTCATCTATTTTTCAACCGAAAGTCGTTGAAATAATTTCATCAAAACTCATAGTTCCGGAATGCATCTCATATAGATATAGATTCCCTATTCGATCAAGCATTGAACATTGAAGAAAGCCAGCTTATTCCTGCTCAATTTCATTTGATTTCGTGATTGCTCTTTTAAACGATTTCATCCAAGATGTACAGGGTATCCAAAATTCTTGTGGCCTAAGTTTGCACTATTATAACGTATGAATCACTGGTGGTTTTCCTTTCAAATCTATGCTACAGAATGCTGCAGTCATCTTTGAACTATACATTCCTGCAAGACCAAAATGATCATGTCTCTAAAAAAATGAAACTTCCGAAACTTGACATTACGCAGAAATCTATATTCTCCGGTTTACAACTTATTACAGCTTGAATATTTGGAACATTCTGGTACCGTTTCATGTCCACATGGAGGCCTTGCACTACTATGCGTATAGTAGCTGCAGTCAAAAATCTAATCCATCGAGACAGACAAAAAAATGGAAATTTTGGGTGCGTGCCACAGCCACTGTGTCTTTAAAATTAATTTTGAATCTGTAAAGGTGAAGCAGTCACGGCATCTAAAGTATTTCTCTATATGTCTTCTAGATGAGATTTAGTTCAATTTGAATGACGAACTTGGTTTCAAAACACATTATAGCCAAGTCCCTATTTTGATTTCAATTGTGTCCAAAACCTACTGCGTGAAGTCTACGCAAGCTTGCATCAAAACTTCTATGATTTCAATCTCAAATTTTACAAAACTTTTTCTTTATAATATGTTGTAGGTGAAAACTTGCTCTATCATATCGCACATTCTCTAAGCAATAGTAATTATTTCCGTTAGGGACCGGCCATACTACTCCTGTGACTCCTGCAATTCCTACGATTCCTGTGATTTCTGCGGGTCCGGTAACAATTATATTGCCAATATATTGCCAATTATATTGATATATTGCCAAAAAACAGTTTATTTTGAAATACGCAAAGCGCTTCGTACTGTGGTACTTCGGAAGTCGAGACATTACAGGAAATGCAGGAATTACAGTAACCACACAAATCACCTCCTGGAAAAGTATGGCCGGTCCCTTAAGGCGTGGGACGAAATTTATTATGACTATCTGCGTGCCACGACAGTGGTAATCGCCAACAGTTTGAACGCTTTCGTTAACAAGAGGAACTGCTTTTACGAAATTCGAGTATTGTAGTGCATTTGTATTGTAATGCGTGCCCCGAATTTTATACTACGCTGTTCCGTACTGCTTTTATGAGATAAGTTACTAAGCTACAAGACTTTTGTGAACATCCTGTAAATGCTCTCAAAAATGAGGCACTCGTGGTACGATATCACCACCAAACTATGTGCGTTTCCGACTCTCGAACCGTTTCTGAACGATTAAAACAGCTCAAAAAATGTTGCTCAAGTGACATTAAGCCTCTTAACTCCAGAGCCGACTTGTAAGTAGAAATGATAAGAAGAACAGATGATAAACCCTGCTCAGACTTTCAAAGTTATCCAAGATAAGCCAGCATTTCGTCAGATGATAGTGTTTGTGCAAAGATAAAACCGGTCGGATTGTGCACACATCCGCTATCAGGTCCAAAACTTTCTTGATTTTTTTCAGAAAGTGTGTTTGCTCATTTTCCACATGCGATTCATATGCAATTTCACGACCTTATATATACAAAACATTCAGAAAAAGTCTCAGGTATCAACATCAGGACAGTTAATTTTTCTCAAACAATAGATTTTGCAAGTGTTTTTATAAAAACGAATTATCGAAATAACAGAAACAGAAAAGAGGTGATTTACGCAATAACCAAAAGGCATAGAACGTAGATTTTCTTCCTTCTCAAAGTATTGCGCAAATTTTCAAAATGATTCATATGTATACTACAATATATTCGAGTAACTTCTTCAATCGCGAGTAATCAAAATAATAGAACATTTGTAAAAACCAAAAAATACATCTGTAATAGCGGTTAGCTTTCTGGAGTTTACCTGGTAGCGTATTTCTTGCAGCTGTCACCCCTGGCTTGCAAAAAAAATTTTTTTGCCCCTCCCTATTTTTGATTTCGCCGCTCCTTAATAGGTATGTCGAAGTTAAAAGATATCAATTAGTAATGATTATGTCGCATTAGATTAAAACCTAACGAATTATATAACAGATTTTGTTTTCGCTGAGCATGACGTGCCCATTTGAAACCAGTTTCATAGAAAGTTTTGTCAGAAATAACTACAGCATTCGACCATGCATCAAAATATCAAACATGCTTTGAGAATGATTAGAAAAAACTACTCAGCTGAACTTCCTTAAGAATCCAGTCTCTAAATCAACGAGAGCAAAGAAATATCTGACATCTATAGCAACTCTAAGAGTTGCTCTACTTCTCAAAGTCACATCACATTTGTTGATTTCTTCTCTAGCTCGCCAATTAAGAAAATCATGCAGAGACCAGTTCTCGTGCTCGAAACGGGAAGAGAAGTGGCATGGACAGAGCAAGTGCAAAGCTGTGGTCACACCTGTGAGTCTGGCATCCGTTCCTCGGCAGTTCGCAGTTGTCCTTCAGAAGAGCCTCGCAACTGAAAGCCGCACGCACATGCAGAGTGTTAGAAAGGTTGGTTACTCGAGAGTGGACAATGCATTAGTGAATTCCAAGGTTAGCCTCACCATAGAAGTTTAGCGGAAAGAAAAAGAGACAGAAAAGAACACAAGGGGATGGCCAAAACTCGCAGCGTGCAACCGTTTCCCTGTAGCTGATTATGCTGACTTTAAAGCCGTCATCCATATCGTGGTCTATGAAGAAGTTAGGCAGTGTATAGAGTCATCCACTACCGTTCCAGCTCAGTGCCAGTGCGGTGCCGAAATCCAGGCGGACGGTCATTGATAGAACGCGGTTAGGCACGTCCTTAGCACGGCAGTGGAACGGCAATGGAACGGGAATGGCGCTCGGCAACGTGCCCAAACAGACGTTACCTTAAGGCTTTTGATTCTTAGCAATGACTATGTATTTGCCCAAGCAGCAGCTTATATGATTCATTTTTAGCCCAAGAAAATGGTCTACAGTTCCTCCCGGTACCGAATTCTAGGGTAGGAATGCGGGAAAGGTGGTGTGGGGCAGTGGTGGGTAATCCTATTCCTTTGATTCTCCCCAGTAGGATGCCGAAGATCAACACCCAACCAATTCAATTAAGAACCAAGGGAAATAAGACCATTCAAAGCGGGAAACGAAATTCTGTTCACCTAATTTCCTGTTACCAGATATGGAGGGCAGATATAGAGGCCCGTAGTAAACCCCCATTCGGGCATCTCTCTCGACGCGGACCGCAGTTGAGGTCATCGCGCTTCAGTCCAGCATCCAGTGAGCTATTGATTTGGATGTGTATCGCTTCCTAGACATGATAACCACATGTGTTCTCAAAAAACTAACCACTTGAGTTGGTTTGGTCAAACGGATAAGCGATTGGAATCACACGCGCGCGGTCGTGGTTCGACACCGGCTAGCGCTACAACTTTTGCTGCATCGCCGGACAATCTTTGATAGCGGCCACTGTCGAAAAAAATCGATGATGACCGCTAACAAGGATATCACTTAGCGAATGGACAGATAAAACAAAACTGACATATTTTGACGGAGAATTCATGAAAAACTGAAATTTTTGGAACATAAATAAAACGTAATAAATAAGTAGATTCTCTTCTAAAGTAGTTTTTACAAGAAACTAAGATTGCTCTGCAAAAAAAAAGAAGAAAACTTTTATCCTTGCTTTTGTCGCCAAAATCAGCTGTTCATCGATCCTTCCCTTTTCGGGCGCCGGTATTGTGCAGTTTTGCGCCGATTTTTTCTGCATTTTTTGGCAAAGTTGTGTGTATCGTAAGTTACTCAGGAGCAACTTATGTTAGATGCAGTCACCTCTTGTCTGCGTCTCCTCTTCTACACACTATTTGGATCACTCTAACATCCGTTCACGTTGAGGTGACTTGAACGTGAACTGATGTGGAAGAGTTGACTGCGGCAGGTGGACAGATGGTCAACTATCAGTTGACTTGACCATCTTATAGCATGGGAACGTGGACGGTGATCAGTTCACCTCACCTAAGGTGAACTGATGGGATAAGTTGAGTTCACCTCAACTGATCGAGCTTTACTACGGGCCAGAATCAGCAATAATGAACACGTTTTGAAAAAAAATGCGAGTTCTGACCAATCCTTTGCTATTTGAGAAGAAAGCATTCCACAAGTTGGTTAGTTCAAATAGATTTGGTTTCTTCCACCGAAACGCACAAGATCCAGACAAGGACAAGCTCATGCAGTGCTGATTTAGTACATCGATTTTCTGTAAATTAAAATCTCCACCTTCTGAGGTTGAGATTCTCCTTGTGAGTTGGCGGCCCTGGTGGTGGTGGTGGCGCTTTCTCGACTTTCACGACAGAACTGCTATGGTGGTGATCGTGCTTCATCGAAAACACCTAGAAAGACTTCAATTATTTGGTTACTTTGTGTGGATATTCTGTTGGTTCTAAAGCATAAATGGAATGTTACACTTTAACTTTATCTTCATTTCCCTTCTATGGAAGGACCTCAGTTCTAGTGGAAGATAATGGATCAGAGTGTGACACTTCCACGCTCGCCTTTGGGTGAAAAAATATCGTACAACATTTCTAAAGCTAACCTTAAGTAAGAAAAAATCTACAACACTCTTCTGTATTCGTTTCCCAAGATTTTAAAGTGAGCCGCAAGAAAACATAAATAAGCCCGCAACAGCGTGGATTTTCCGTCATTATGTGGTCTCTTTAAAAAATGCAAGAAAATATGGCTTGAATACATCATTCGAAAATTCTTGAAAAACATTTTGACTAGGCGATTTTCAGGGCTCAGAGCTAATCCCCTTAACATTATCAAAAGAATTTACTATCATAAAGATGTTTTTTGCCTCTAAAGATGCGAATGATTGAAAAGGGAATTTGACGCTTTTTTTCGAGATTCTCTAAGTTTTAGTCGGGCACTAAATTGTAGAAAATATTTCTAATTCTGATCTCTGGTTTAGTGCTTCAAAGGGCAGCTAGAATAGAACCCAAGTTTTCAAGACTTATGTGTAAGCAGGGTTATCTGTAATTATCTGTAACAATATTTCAAGGTAGACTAAATGGTTTTTGAACTCGCGCCTAGCATTTTATTCTTTTATAAGTTATTGAAGGATATGCAGAGCGTCCCAAAAAATGTGCCTAACATTCTTTAAGTTTCTACCATAATTCTACAATAATGAAGAGAGATTGGTGAGTCGTTCTATACAGCCAATCTAAGTTGATGCTAGCTCTACAAAATGGTACCTAATGGTTCTTGAAAGACTTCATTGCAAGAGAACAATCAAACAGTAGGCACATTTTTTGGGACACCCTGTACGACTTATTGGTAAGCATCACTCATTCTTTTTTTTTCTATCTACCAAATTTCCATCAACAGAAAAAAGCATTTTATTCGTTGACACAGACTATCAACCTATGTGTTTGACTGAGATTAAGAAAAAGTGAACAAAAAACAAGTTTTTTGAATTTGAATCTTAGAGGGTATGTAGTGATTTTGATTTTGAAGATGATCTTGATAATTTTATAACTCTAGTCAATATGTATTATACATATGGTGAAGCTCTAACGCTTGACTACGTTTCCCTTTATATCGTTATTTTTTGAAAATGAGCGACAGTAATTGTAGATGTAAGCCGACAAACCTTCATGCATATTTCCTCGATCAAGTACACCAAGAAGAATCCAATGCAAGTACAAAACTGAGGTAGCGGAAACTCAATGGTCGCGTTGGATTCCAATTTGAAGTCCTCATAGTTCTCACTGGAAAACAAAAATGACGTCATGGACCGGACGTTGCAGCGATGAAAAAGATGTGTTGCTAAAAGTAGAACGTGAACAAAGGCGCGCAGCGATCCTCATCCGGTCACATTTGCGCGCACCGCACCGTAATCGGCTTAGCGCCTTTTTGAAAAATGATCACCCCCGTCGAAACCGCATATCATGATCGACACTTATTTTTGGACTCCTAGAAAGACGGACAGATAAGCACGCAACTTTGACAGAAGGAAATACTAAGATTGATCAATTAGGTGGAAATCAGTAACCCAAAAATCAGATCAACAAAAACTGACAGTTTTACGGTAAGATTGTTTCGTGAGCGATAATGATAGCAAGCGAAAAACAATACGTTTTACATCGTAAACGATCTACTCGTTCGCTGATCATCCCCTACATTCTACCTTCACGATTTCTAGTATTTCCAAATGTCTTGCACCACACTTTTGCCATATGGTAAGGCAGGGTTTTCTAAACCATATATACGTACCATGCAATGAAGAAAAAACCTGGACTTTAAATTTCTAAAGTCAGTCCTAAAAGGTTGCTAAAAAGTCTTATGAAGTCAGTTCTCGTCAATATATGAATATCTGATATTTTTTCGAACTGAAACTAGTGCTGATAGAGTGGCTTTACCGATGACTTTCTGTTATTTTTCGGATATTCCTGTTAATACTTATGATTGCGGAAGTCTACATTACTTAATTATTTTATCAAATCTATAATGTGCATAATGTGAAATGAATAAGATGATGAAAATTCGTGAGATTATCTCAAATTAAGGAAATGTTTTCCCACCATTTTTGGGAGGATCATGTCTAATTAGCGCAAGAATTCGAGACAATGAGCTTATCTCGTAAACTGGAACTTCCACAGGACAAGCGAAATTTACAGCGGTTTTGCAGGACTTTGTTTACCATTACAAGAGTAACAACTTCGAAAATGGGAAATTCCGCAGAATTTTTACGTAAGAGTGGTTGAAAACGGTAACTTCTGTAGACTCTTTAAAGAGCTGCAGAAATTCCGTAAAGTGCAGCGGTTCTTCCGCAACACTTTGCCTGCCGGGTACTTTCGCAAGTTTAAAATGTGTTATCTTTTACGATGCTGTTTCGCCAACAACTGGAGTGCATTGTCGAACATGCCATACGTAGTGCAGAGGATGGTAAGTGAATCCAGCAGTGGATAAAGTAAGATTCTAATCTCGCTTAGGTGTCTTCTTTTGCTGTTATGGTTTGCATTCTTCGGAACTTCTGCAGATAATCCGGCGGAACTTTCTCAAACGTTCTGCGCAAGTTCCGGTCAGTTCCCTAAGATATTCATATGATTTGATTTCAAGCAATGCAGATTAATCTCAAATTAAATAAATCAGAATAGTCTAATATTTTGATACCCTTTGCAATCATTCAGCAAGTTGTGTGCAAATTGCCAAAGATTTTGCGCCACTAATTTTCTTCTTATATTTTTTATGTGATCGGAAATGGAAAGTGCAATCTGTTATCACCTGTTTTGCAATAAACAGAAATTGTTCAATGTTTGACTAAGAAAAAAAATAAAAGTTCTAGCAGAATTCTCGACATTTTCACAAAAAAAATCATGGGATTTGGGAGAGTGCAAAGGAAAGCACCAATGCAATGATAACGAAGTAGATAACAAGAATAAGGCAAAGCAAAGCAAAAATTTTCCATTTTTGATGAAAAGCTCATAATTTAATTTGATGACATCTAGACTTGAAAATCAAAGGAGATGAAAATCAAAGGCAAACAAAAGAAACTGGGGAAAAAAATAAAAAAGAATGCGAGCGCTGCGGTCAGAAGTGCAACTGGATTACGTAGCGACTGGTTTTCATGCGCGAATACATTGCTGACAATTGATCGCTCACACAGCGATCACAAGTTATTCCAGAAATCATACATAAGGAGAAAACCTACTTGATGTGTGGAATAATGTCAAGGAAGCATGTGCCGAGAAATACTCCACCGGAAAAACAAGAGAGCAATGATAGCCAAGTTCCATGTTTTTTATTGTCACGCTGTTTCTTGTCGAGATAGCTCAAGAGCTAAAAAATATACATGAAGTAGGGTAAAAATAAAACAAATCAATGAAATAAAATAGTTTTCATGCCAAAAATTGAAAAATAAAGAAGCACACCTTGATGGGTAGAAATCCTGCTATAGCAGTCGTCAGAAACATAACAATGGCCAATATTATTTGCAGTCCAGCGGCCATTTTTGTAGAGTAGGGATTTTAAACAGAAATAAAAGTAGGTAAAAATGCTTTACAATCGGGATTTTTGCTTTGCAGTTGCTCTTCTCATAGGCTTCAGTCTCTCAAGGTTATCTGTAATAGCATAATCAGACGAGAAACGACAAAGTCGAAATAATTGCGCGATCTCCGTCCTTGACAAATTCTTGACGTTTCGATAGAAAATTCTATTGTTTAAAAGCAGCCAGTTCGACTAACTAGATAAAGTAGTTAAACGAAGACGTGAAGCACATTAGAAACATGAAACTGTGACGTTTGTAACGATATAGGACAAATCAATTCCCGAGAAGTCAACAGTGGAATGTACGAGGCTAGCGAAAATAGATAAATCAAACGATGCAAAAAACTGCAAGTATTCCGAGAACTGGTTATGCCGTTAGCCATGAATGCCCATTTTTCCTCCTCCACATGCCATAGGTTTGCGTAATATTTTCAGAACAATGTATGAGCATGGGTTGACATTAAAGAATAAGTACAAGACACACGGTAAATAAATGGGAACAACCCTAAAGGACGTAAGTGACGCCTTATCGGGAACGAAATCGAACGACACAGGTGACGATATCGTTTTCGGTAACTGTAGTGGGTATGGGAGAATGCGGGACAGTAAGTTCAAGAGTTCAAGCAGTTTATAATCGCCAAGAAATTTCTACAAAATCTGTTGTGACGGGAAGAAATAACAATTTTTTATTTACAAGATAGCTCGATAAGAACTGAAGACTGCAAGCAGTAAACACAGCAGTTGTCCTCTTCTACTCACTGATAAGAACAAGCAATTCTAGGAATCGAATGGCAGTGCAGTAGAATGGTCCTGTAGGTAGCTTTACGATAGACTGTATGTATACTGAATGCATCACGGGTCACCGTGACGAGCGATGCCGATCATTGAACTTTCCGAGTTGAGAGTTGATAAGAAAAGACGGCATAAGGAGTCCATGACATAATCTTCTGTACTATCTTACACTACTTTTGATAGTACTAGCTAGCGACAGTTCTATTAAAAAGAAGAAAGAAGTAAATAACAGAGCATTCCAAGCAATATTGTAATCAACAATGCGTTTGTGATCTGCACGAAGACATAAGAAGCAAAAAGCTGCATATAGGCAAACTACTTCCATATAATTTTGTTTGGTAGTTTTGCTTTTTCCTTAAAAATCGCAGCTTCTCGCTACTCCAAGAGAGCTCAACTTTATCTTCAAAAGAGGATATTTATGCATAACACGACGCAATTACAAAACTGAGGCCGAAAACATAGCTCCCGCAATTTCAGTCGCAAGCGATTTGCAAATACTCCATTGGCAAATACTCTATCAATTTACGAAAGTTATAGTGCCATGCCTTTGGGGTCTACCACTATCAAATTTGAAGACGTCTGGCAAATTGCCAGATAGCGTGGCGACTGAAATCGTGAGGTATATGCTTGGGCCTAAGATAGGAATACGAGATGTGTAACTGATTGAAAAGATGGAGGTCTTCTACAAAATCTTTTTTAGCCGACATGGGAATAGTTATACTTATCGAAAATTTATAAAATTGCTACATTAGCCACGGAAGATCAACTCGAGTAGTTTACAAGAAATGGCTAGGTTCTGAGAGTCCTAAAATCGTTTGCATATGTAAGTTTGGTTCCGAGTACGCTAAATCCAAACTGTTGCCAAAAGTACATTCTTGAAATGGCTTGGCCATCCCTTGACTTCTTTCATACAATCTTTTGGAAAAGTTAGTCACATCTGTGATTTCTGATGAATTATTATCGCTGGCACTGATGAATGCTTCCAGTACAGTTCCGTATTAATTTGATGATAAACAAAAACGCTAAAGGTTGAAAAATGTAAGTTTTCTTGGTAATTTGAAGACATGGGATGGCGCCAGAAGTGATTCTTTTCGAGGATTTGAATTGAAATCGGGAAATATTAAGGTGTCTTGTAATTTTTTTTCGTTTTTACTATAATCGTCCTCTTTTTGTAACTTTCCTTCAGTTAAAGGATCAAGTAATCTTTCGACAGGGCAAAGCAAGCTCTACAAGAGGGCTATCAAGAGTTCGCCCAAATCGTACTCCATTTAAAGTTTAGAGTCGAATTGTGATAGCAGTCAAAAACAAACATCCCCGTAAAAAATCGTATCTCCGCACCAAAAAATGTTAAAAATTCCTATTTATCTTAGCTTATGCTTAACACATCGAACATTCAATTACACACTTTCCGCATTTTTTCCATGGCTAAAAATGGAGAAAAAAAATGAATAGTAAAATGGCAAACTCCGCCCTTAGACTTTGTGAGCTCCTCCCACGCACGCGATCATACGACTCATGCATACAGAATTACGATCATGTATACTTTTTGTAGGTGTCCCAGTTCGGGCAATACTGACGTTTGTGGTATAAAAACAGTAAAAATTATGGGACACCTCAAATATACGAAAAAGAAGTTTTGAAGACAATCTAAAGAGATGCATCCAATCTGAATGGTTACAGAGCTCTATGGAAAGACTTTGAAAGACCTTGGAAAAGTTCACTTCTTTAGAAAGGAGAGATAAGCGAAGTTGGCGTGCACGAAAACATTAGGAATATTTTTTGAGCTTTCAACTCAAAGATGCAAGCTGTAGGAGGAGGAATTCACTTGGAACGAAAAGCGAATGCTTAGTGCGTTCAAAGGACAAATAAGCACTATCAGCTGCTAATCACAAGTAATCTGGTATCGATTACCGCAGAAAAATTTAGAATCAAGATTGTAGGATAAAATCGCTATGGGACGAACTGTAGAAAATGGTGAAAAGGGTGGGGAGTTGCTGCGCGTTTGTATCGCTCATGATAGCCATCTCACCTTGCGTCACGACTCCTGGTCAACAAATGCAAAACAACTGAGACGTGCGGGTGCTATTTATTGAGAGAAAGAAGTGTGTGATTAAACACATGCGGTTTGGGCGTTCGCGGAAGAGATTTTCTTGAGAAAATCGTTCATGACCTTCAGACATTTAGGGAGAATTACGAGCTATTAAAGGCAGTATTCAGTCTGGGTGCAGCCGCTTTCATTTGAGCAATCTTTGTGTAATTGCACCAATTTTACAAGCTGCAGTGAAACAGGCCTAGCAATGAAGTCACTTTGAGATTGAGAAGGCAATATAAAACCATTGGCAACTTGACGACGATATGAAATTAAAAAGGTGATTTCGTACGACTTTATAGCGTTCTGGCGCTGCAAATGTCAGTACATATAGTTATGGTGCAGTTACACAAAGTGACCATCAAAATGAGAGCTTTTTTAAGAGGGTAGCAAAGTGATAGGGAGGCCTTGGGGTCAATGCCCAAGCGGCAACTCAAATAATTTACTCGCGAGCGTGATTTTTAGCTCCAAACTCAAGCCCAGACCCTCCTACCGTATTCCGCTACCGTACTCGAGTACGCTGATTGGTCCGCCCAAGAACACGATGTGGGCTGAAGTTTGGAGATTTTATCGGCCTTGAGTCAGTAGGCTCTCCCCCTTCAGCAATGGTTCAGCTAAGCCACCACCACCCCCTCCCCACTCCCCGCACTTCCCCCCACTCTCAACCCTCCCCACCCCCCCCCCTCGCTCTGTCCAGTCATCCACATGAGAAGTCAATTACCGAAACTACCCTTCGACAGTCTTAAAGAATGTTTGGCTAGTACGACTTCCGCATCAGTTAAAGGATTACCGCCACTCATGGGCAACACACGTGGTCGACAATTTCCAAATGCGTCCAGTTCTTTTGCCCAATAACAGCATAATGGAACTAGTATTCAAACTTTCAACTGCTCACCTTCCGCATAAAAACACAAAGTATATAGTAAGTGGTCGAATAGGAAGTCTAGAAAACTCATTGCGGAATTTTTACGATCACATAAATCGAATGATCACCGAAAAAGTCGTTTATTTGTCCGATCACATGAGTAAAGTTCAAATTGTGAAAGGAATGGTATAAATCAAGAACTTCTTTATGAGCAGAAATTACGAGGAGAATCTAGCTCTTTCACTGCGCTTATTGAGCACCTATCAGAGCAAAAGAAACAAAAGCTTTGAAAGTCACTGTTTCAAGACCCTCCCTTGGGCACTAGGGGAGGGGCTAGTGAGGTATACTGTAGCTAATATATCAGCTTGTACATGGAATCGTAAACACTTTGTTAAATAGGCCAGGTTTTAAGTTGTCTAACTAGATGCTATTTAGCCTAAAATCTTTTTAGAAAACCGCCAAAGTCTTGATTTTCTGCTTTGAAAACTAAAAGTACATAGGGGCTTGCTGCATACTAGCCGAAAACTCATAAAAATCTTAATATATACCTGGAACGTGAATGAGCATAACTTCACTGCATAAAGAGAGTTGGAGAAGGTTGGCGGCTTAAGCAATGCTGTAAAGGGCTAAAACCGAGACCAAATCCAAAAAATTTGAAATCAAAATGTGACTAACAAATCGTGAACCAATGGACGGAGTTCCTCAGGAGCTTACCAGTGGTGTTCAGAAACCCTGAATTTCTGCAGCTTTTCAGGTACTTACTCGAGATGAAAGTCCAAACTTTTCAAAAAACATACTCATGCGCAAGATTTTGGGGCAAATATTTTCTTAGAACAGATGCGCTTATCTTTATACAACATCCGCAGGTAGAAAAAAGTATGCAGTGCAAGGATGATATATAAGAATAGCAGTAAAAACAGTAGTTCTACTGGGTTCGATTTTCGAGCCACAGCCAGAAAAAATATAGAAAGAACGGAAAAGTTAAGAAAGCGAGATTTTGCGAACAATTTAGCAAAAACTTGTGCAATTCGTCAGTCACACCGCTGCTATTTGCTAAGATTAAATGTAAATAGCTCTGTGGCCGACTCAAGAACGCTGAATGAAGAAGGCAGAAATAGAAGTTTGAAAAATGGAACATCAATGACGACAAATACGTCGAATGATATGAGGTGTTTATCATCAATGTACTCAGAACAAAATTATTCACTTATACATGCTTTGCACGTTTCACTAGTGAACATAGATTAGAAAATCATGTTCACTTGAGCAAAAACCTGGAACCACCGGCTACCATGATTCAAAAAAGCATGAGATTATGAGCTCTAGTGAA